TACAGGCTGTTGCTGCAGCAACTGCTGCTCTTGCGTATCCTGACGTTCCTGCAAGTGAAGCAAGGAAGAGTCCTCTACCTGAATAAACTTTTGCGGTTCGCGTGGCTGACGCCAGCTAAACGCCTCTTGTTGGGTGCGCTGGTTTACGATCTTTTGATGCTCGTACTGTTCCAGGCTCATCATCTGAGAGTCCTCGACCTGCACGAACTGCTGGCGCTGAGCCTCCTCAATCTGGCTCTGTTGCTGCACTAACTTCTGCCTTTCGGTAGTCTGGGAGAGGTTAGTGTCTTCAACTGATGTCAGTGGCTGCAGTTGTGGGCGCTGCTGTTGTTGTCGCCAATTGACAGCCTGCTGCTCACGGATCAATCTCTGGGCCTCCAGTTTCTCACGCTCCGAAACATGCATAATGTTAACATCTTCGGTGGTGATAAACTGCTGATTGTAGATGTTTGACTGATCTTCGTATTGCTGCAGTTCATCGCGACGCATTATCTTTGAGATCGAACCCTTGGAGCTCTCGTCAATCAGGACCACGCTTTCTTCGGCTGTGCCCGATTGGAACTCCTCAGTGATAGCCTGCTGAGACTGCAGACTTCGCAGCTCAACTTCCTCAATCTTAAACTTGTCGATTTGCTTGGTTACCCTCTGCACACTCTTAAGCTGCTGACGCATCTCTTTCCACGGAATGAGATCTTTAGCGTTTTGTTGCTGGGTTATCAGCTTATCGATCTGGTCGGTCATCTCCATAATTTCTACACTTTCCATGCTCTTTAACCGCGCGATTTCCTTGGTGCGCTGCACCTGCTCAACTTGGGCCTGTTGTGGTAGCTGCTGATCTGTTTCAATCTGTCCCTCAAGGGGTCGCAAATATACCTCATCCAAGTCGAATTTGTTGAGTTGTTCCTGAACACTCTCGACCGCCTTGAGCTTTTCGCGCATCGTGATCCAAGGGACTGCTTCCTTTTCGGTCTTACCGGCAATGATTTGTTCCAGTGTAGCACCCAGACTCATAATGCCCTGATCGCGTTCAGTCTTGATGGACTTTAGTACAACCTTAGCCGCCTCCAACTTGGGAGTTGGCTTCTTTTTCTCAATTGGAGTTGCCTTTAAGCTTATGGTCTCCTCGGTCCAGGACTTAACTGGTTCAGGCTTAAACCCTGGCAAGAAGACTCCCTTATCAAGGGAGCGACCACGAGTGGGACGCGATGACTTGCGCCAAGGGATCACCTTAGTGGCTGGCTGCAATGACTTGCTGCGCACCTTGGGTTTCTTCTGGCGCGACCTTCCCTGGTGCTGACCCTGTCCGTTGACGCCCAAAAATTGACCGAACTGCTGGCCGGGTTGCTGGCCAGGTTGGAAAGCGTGGGGGGACTCGGGAGCACTGTCCTCTCGACCAGAGGAAGAGGACTCATCCTCGGCGGAATCAATTGTTCGCAATTGATAAGCCGAGATTCGTCGTTCTAAAGATGATCAAGGGGAATTGCATTTAGTTCACCTTTAGGAAAAGGTATGTCAGAAAGCTAAAAACCCAGAGTTCAGTGGCCATAGAATACTAAAATTTTTAAGTCACTTACCTTATCATATATGCAATATTCAAAAACTTTTTTTTGAAGCAGGTTCAATTTCTTTCTTAGAATTTTTACTACAAAAATATTTGGCAAGTGTTTTTAAATTACAAGTCAAATTTAAGTCAATGTGCATTTGCATTTTTTTTACCACTTACCTGCTCTGTTAAGTTTAATGATTCGCTTAAGTGGCACTAAATTATATATCTATGGCATATGCAACGCATTCGACAATATATAGCGAGCCGAATCATGTATACCGTTGCAGTCTTCAAATACCTCGAAAAAAAATTTAAAAAGGCTAAACAACATCCAAGCTATACTCTGCAAGGGTAAAATATCAAGAGCACTTAATTGTAGAAAAATTGAATATCTTTTTCCTTGAATACTTGGACTTTTTGACGAAACCCAAAACCCTCCATGTTAATATCCGTGTGTGGGTGTGTGTGTAATAAATTAAATTTTAAAAGCTGACAGCTCATCTGATTTGGCCGTGAATAAAGCAGAACTGGGATTGGGCCCTAGGTCAATATATATATTTGTTAATTGGCACTGATAAAAATAGGTGCGAGTAGTCAGGGGTAAAGTGACGCTGTGGTTCATCTACGTTTTGTGACTCACAAATCGAGTGTGACGAGCCCACTTGGGATGATTAAAATTGCATTAGCCTGCACCTAAATCTGGCACATTGTCATGACAGCAATTGAGCAAGTCGTAACGAATGGTTTCGTTTGACTTCAACTCATCATCATCAAAATGTTTATTGGACACGGGCAAGAAGGTGGTATTGTGGCAAGGCAAGTGTACAATTGAGAGCGAACAATTCAAATGCCTGTGTATACATTAAGGCCAAAAATAGATATCTGATTAGTGGTAGCTACGTCACCAGGTGTTGCTGCGGAACAACATCAGCATTTCGGGTAGCTCGACAGCGCTACTACGGATTTATGGGCGGGGTGTGGCTGCTTCGATATTTTCGGGGCCCATATAGCCATACGGCCAGAGCGCATTGCGGCGCACTCCAACGATCTCAGTCGGATGTAGACAACAATCGGCCGCAGAACAGAAAAGACCTCAAGGTAGACAGTTCTTGGCTGGGGCGTCTTTGCCCCTTTCGTCGAAATTACCTACCTGTATTGAGTTCCTGGCGACATTTCTTTGACGGGATGCAAGCAACAGCGGTGCAAGAGCAGCAATAACAGCAAGATTGTGGCAAGGAGCTTTTGGCAGTTATCAAAACGAAGTATCAAACGGTTATGCATTTTGCTTGGATTTATTTATAGACGCGGTATCGGTTTTAAATATTAAATACATGATAGATACAATTAAACAACAAAAGAGTGTCCGCGAGTGTTGGTATTTAAAATGAAAACAAATCAATCAAAGTTCTTCGTCATCATAAAGTGATCAATCAAAAAACATATCGAGTACAAATAAACATAAATCAAAAGACTGGCAAATAATCAGAGGTCCAGATACAGTAGATAAGACTTAAAACGAAGGTCGCATGAGTTTTTATGATTAATTTTTTAGTAAAGCTTCTCGCCACAAAGAGAAAACATGAAACAAAGAGTATTTAACATATTGGCGGCATAAGCGGCAAATACTATTAAGATTCGTTCGGTTTTTTTTACACAAAATGGATGGTTGGTGGTGAACAAGAGTGTGACAAACATTATGGTAACGAAACGAATTAGTATAAAGCGGTAATAAAAAATGAATAATAAAATCTCATGCAACATCACTACAAAATAAATAAATTTCAATTAAATTAAATTCAATAAAATAAACAATACAAGTTTATAGTCGGTATGTTCGCATCGCTATAACAATATCATCGATGCACTGAAGGACTGGAGCGTACGACTTTCGGTTTGGAGTTTTTGGTAAAAGTCTGGCTATGAAGAAGTATCTTAAAGCTTTCTATCGAACCCTTTCTAATATGGATTTAAGTTTCAGCCGGAAAATAGAGAAGCTGAACCATCGCTTGAAGACAACAATCTGTTTTGGCCTGGCAGCTAAATATAAAATTAAGTGCAAACATGAATCACAGATACCCGTGACTCGTAGACTGAACAGCCGTAACTGATTAATCTAATTAAATTCGTTTCTGCACCATAAACACAATCATCAATTTATGTTTTCCTCTAATGACCAAGTGTATGAGTCGCCCGACTAGCATAGGAATATCTCTCATCTCAGCCTGATCCATCCCTTATAGACAGCAGCAGCAACTACAACAGGTAATTTATCATTCTATTTTTTCTAAAACCTAAGGAACCCAGTATGCCTAAGCAAATATATATTTCTTTGGTTGCGTTGTTTTCGTTTTATTAAAAGAAAATTGAAATAAATTTCAAGATTTACTTGAGAAAATACATAAATGTTTTTCATTGTAGCTGAAAGCCAGAAATCCAGACAGCTCCGCCTGACTAAAAATAGCGAAACGGATTTTTTAACGCTAATCTATTGGAAATTAGTTCTCGAAAGCCAAACATTCTCCAAAAAGAAATTGAAAATAGAAACCCCGCTGCGCTACATATGTCTATATGTCTCTATGAGTCTGGGTAGGGTGGCAGTGAGAAGATTCGAGTGGCAGCTGAAAGCCCACGGCTGAACGGCTTTCGATATTTTCAGATTTGTTGGGTTTGGTCTCTGCTCGATTTGTGCTAGTTTTTGCGCACGTTCACAGGGGGCAAATGGGAAATGTGTATCTGGCAGATACAAGATACGCGCACCGCTGGCATCGCCATGAAGTCCGCCGTGTATGTGCGCTAGATGTGTCATCCATAATATTTTATGCTAATATTCAAATGAAAAATATAACTTTCACGCTCGAGCGGAGGCGGGACAAATGTGCGTTTTGCACACGGCCCCAAAACTATCCTACTCATAGACGAAACACATAATACATCTATAGATATATTCACGGAGGGGTTCTGAAAATATTATCATGTGTGCTTAAAGTAGCCTGCTCGGTAAATGCTTAGAGTACATAAGCTGCCTTATTTTTAACTCAACTCAAGGGGCTAGACACCTACATTGTACACTTGGGCTTGAGTCATTTCCACTTTCACTCAACTCGCTGCAGATTTTTCAAATTGTATTTTATGGCTGTTGTTGCTTATGTGTCTTGGCCGTGCCAGAATGAAAAATGTTCTATAAATATTTATATTGCAAAATACTTGTAATTATTTTTATTATTTTTCAATTAAAAATTTTCTTAAATTTTTTTGGTTACGTTTTCGTGTTAGACATGTTTAAATTAAATATTTTTTTCTGCATTTCTTTTTTGACATTTTGCAATGGTTAGTAAAAATAACTCGTTCGTTTGATAGCTTAGAAAAATCCTTGTTGAAAGTTTCGACAGGTTCGCTTTAAAATATTCTTCACTCAAACTTTTACGACTAGTAGTTGATCATATATATAGATAGGTTGAGGGGTAGTAGTAACTGTATGTAATACGTCAGTAACTCGGGGATTAATAGTAAAAGTTTCTTCACGGTCGTTGTTTTGTTTTTGTTCTTTTCTTTTTTGAGCATTCTTTGGAGTTGGTTTGTTGATGTTGGTTGGTGTTTTGAACACGGTTCGCTTACGTTTGGTTTTACTTGGTTTCGAACTCTGGTTTTGGGTTGGCTTAGTTTTAGTTTAATCCTTACTTTTAACAGTCAGTTTGGCTGAGGATTCGACCTGGCCGGTGGACGAGGTTACACGTACAGTAAATATGCCCGAATCCTCCTCGTAGGTGGTTCCAATCAGAAGCACAGCGCTGTTGCCGTCGAAGATCATCTGAATATAAGAAAGGACATTTTCAGTTGAATGCTAATATAATTGTAGGTTAATTTAACATCAGAATCTATTATTATTGCTTGAAGTTGATAAACTTATTCTTAGATTATTAGTGAACCCACCTGGAAATCTGGTGTTTCGGGGATTAGCTGGCCCTCGCGGAACCACTGCACGCTGGTGGCCTTCACTTTGCCGGTCACCGTGGTCTTGAATTGGGCGGGCATGCCCTCGGTGACGGAGACGTCCTTGAGAGCGGTGATGGTGGGCGGGGCGTCCAAGTTCTCAATGGGACGAACCTTGAGCTGGGCACTGGTTTGAATGCTGCCCAGCTTGTTCTCGGCCACGCACTTGTAAGTGCCTTCGTCCTCGGGGAAGGCTTCCGAGATGACCAATTGGTAGTACTCGCCCTGGCGGCTCATCTGGAAGTACCGAGATGGCTTCACAAAGTTCTCGCCGCGCATCCAGCGAGCGGTGGGAGTGGGCTTGCCGTCCACACGACAGCGGAAGATGACCTTGCTGCCCTCCTCCACCGACTGGCTCTTAAGTTGCTCCACAATGTGCGGTGGCTTCTCACTGCCCGGGGTGGTTGGTTTTTCAGGCTTGCTAGGGGACTGCACAATGCAATCGCCATCGCAGCGAGCCTCTCCAGCTGCATTGACAGCCACACACTCGTAGCGGCCAGAATCTTCCGCGAAGGGTTCAATGATGAGCAAAGTATGCACATTGTCCTCCTCCAGCATCTTGAACTTGATGCTCGGCTGAATCTTCATGCCGTTCTTGAGCCAGTAAACATCCAAGGGACGTGTTCCAGTGACCTTGGCATCGAAGCGAGCCAGTTGTCCGGTGGCCACGGTGGTGCTTTGAATGGTGGTAACAAAGCTGGGCGGCTGAATTCCACCCTTTCCGGCACGACGACGTTCCTCCACCACTAAGTTTGCACTGCACTTGGCGGTTCCTCCGCGGTTTTCAGCCACACACGAGAATACAGCCGAGTCTTCAACGAACACTTGGCGGATAATCAGAATGGACTTGCCACTGAAGGTGTGGATCTGCAGATCTGGCGAGTTTTGAATGGGGAAGCTTTCGCGGTACCATTTAATCGTGGGATTTGGTTCACCGTCGAACTCAACTTCAAACTTGGCCTGCTCGTTCTCAAAAACGCGGCAGGGCTGAATCTTCTTGGTAAAGACCGGAGCCTTGGCAGGTTTCACGGGACCCTGGACGACGCGCTCCTGAATGGTGCCCTTGTGCTCCACTTCGGTGGTTTCGGTAGCGGTGATCTTACGGGTGATTTCAAGGTCACCCTGGACCTCCTTTTGCACCTGCTGCTGCTTGTTCATATGAACCTCACGGCCATGGACAGAGGACTCAGAGGGCTGAGCGGTTCCCTTGGGTGGAGCGGCCTGCACCTGAGTGGTGCTGGTTTTCTCTTGACTGGAGAGATAGAAATCATGGTTATTGTGTTTCTATATGGAACTCTTTCATACTTACAGATTTTCTTCGTAAGATTGGGCCATTCCCTTGGCCTGGGAGCTGCTCACGACCTTTTCGCCGGGGATGGCGTACTGATGAGTATCCCTGCGCAGATTGGTCTCCTTAAGAAGCTGCTCAGTTTCCAGACTCTGCAGCTTGTTGTAGTAATCTTCGCTCTTCTTGGCCTTCACGTTTTGCTGCCAGTCGGGGGTTGGTGGCTTGTACTGCTTCGGCTTCAAGTGCTCCACTCCCTTGAGGGTGTGGGAGCTTTGCTCGGACAGAACCTGCTTACGCTCGTCGAACACCTTCTCCAACTCATTTTCCTGGCGCTCCTTTTGATAAGCGGCTAGTTCGTAGTCATACCAGGCTAAATATTTAAGTGTTCAGATAATTATTTAGTGACAAACCGAATTTATTCTAACGAAAATTCCTGGAACATGCATTTTCTGGGTGATCTTGAAGCGTTAGAAATTTAAAAAAACGTGCAATAAGATCATTAAAGTTATTTACAAGTAGACTTAGTGGAAATTATGATTCAAGGTTAATACTTCAATGGGTTTTTCAGAGAGGTTCACTAGCTCTTTTGGTTTCTTTACTTGACGTGGGGATAGCAAATGAATATAGACAGAGAGGGGCAATGATCAGCTGGATGATAACCACGGTTTAGAACAGACGGAAAGTGCACACGCAAAACTACGTTATAACTATATTACCCCGGCTCCGGCAATACTTAGTTCCCATCCTTGGTTTCCTTCGCGTGAATCCCTCTTCCGAAGTCTCTCGCTGACTGAAGCACTACAATCGGCGGTTTAGGGGATTTTGGGGATTTCAGGGATTTGGGGAGCAGTTTTTTTCTTTGGATTTTGGATAAATTTGTGCATGTTGTCTAAACTGTTTAAACTACTTGGAGCGTGGCTGGAGTGCAATAAACTTGGGTGCTACGTCTACGTAAACTTGAGTGGCATGTTGTATGTTGGAATGTATATATTTACAATGAGTTTCTTTATGTGATATAGCATGTTGTGTCCATATTTAGTTTGGTCAGCTAAAGTCTACTGCATTTGAAAATTGTTAATATGCTAATAGCTGTTACATAAGTTTCCAGTCTCTCTGGTATGTGTAGTAAATAAAACTTACGACGTGGCGAGTTCTTCAGCACATTACGATAATCATCAGAGCGGGCAACGACTTTCAGTTCGGTGGTGGCAATCGATTCGCCCACAGAGTTGCGAGCAATCACCTCCACTTTGCCGGTATCGTACTGACGTGTCTTCGGGACATCCAGATGGAACATACCATCGTTGGTCAGCTTGTAGCGAGAGCCCTGCAACAATTTATTTTTTAAATGGCAGACCCTTAAAAATGGGCATTAGTAAACTCACATGTACAACAGTGTGTCCATTGATTAACCACATAACCCTTGGACGTGGGTGTCCGGTCACACGGACACAGAATCTAGCAGAATCTCCCTCCTCCACAGTCTGGGGCTCCAGTTTGCTCACAAAGACAGGCTTGGTCCTGGGCTTGGCATCGGGATCAACCTCCTCGGGCACCCTTCAAAAGCACATATCAAAATTGAAGTAAACAGTGGAATATTTTCATAACAATTTGATACTTACACCTGCCATGAGGCTTCCATTTCACGAATGCGGTCAATGCTCTGCATGTGAGCAGGCAACTGGGAGTCGTAGACTATGCCTGGCTTTCCAGAAACCTTAATGAAAGCACGAGTCTCATCCATGCCGTACAAGTTGGTAGCGCGGCACACGTACTCTCCACTGTCTTCGGGATAAACCCAGCCGAAGTTCATGGCAACATAGCCGAAATCGTAAATGGGCTGGAAGCGATTCTCTGCAGGGGAAGCAACATAAGATTAAGTTTCTAAGAATTTAAAAATATATTTTTCAAGTACTTACTGTGCAGCAAGGGCTTGCCATTGAAGAACCACTCGACCTTCATGTTGGGATCTCCCACAGGAGCCAACTGGCACTCGAATTTGGTCACGGCCATTTCGGTGAGAGTGAGCTGTTCCTTGATCTGAGTGACAAAGCGAGGAGGCTGCTTGCGGTCGGGATCGAAGAGATCGTCCTCGGTCAAATGAACCTCCGAGGTATACTTTTTGATAGTGGCCTCCATTTGCGTCAGTGCGTCCGAGCGCTTCATACCGCGAGGCACTTGGTTTTGGAGCAGGATGGTGGGAAGTTCTGAAAAAAAATTTGTAAGAACAAAAGAAAGGGAATATTTATATAGTAACTTACTCTTGCAGGACACAGTAGCTTTGGTGCGATCTTCGCCATGGTTGTTAACGGCACGGCACACGTATTCTCCGGAGTCCTCTCCATAGACATACAGAATATCCAATGATACGAAGCCCATGTCGAAGATGTTCCTGTAACGATGTCCAGAAGGCAAGGGCTTGCCATTGCGGTACCATTCCACGCGCAGGCTGGGATCGGTCTTGGGCTCAACCTGGCACTCAAACCGCACGGCCTCGGCTTCATCGACGGTCACGGAAGTAATCTGAGTGGTGAACTTCGGTGGACCGAACTCCTGTTCGACCACCTTCGGGGCCTCTGGGATACGTCCGCGCTCCAGCTCCTTCAACTTCTCGGAGGTCATGCCCTCGGGCAGTTGCGATTCATATACAATATTGTGCTTGCCCTTGCAGGTGACCTTTGCCGTGGTTGTGGCAGTGCCCCACTTGTTCGTTGCCCGACAAGTATACTCTCCCGAATCTCTAGCATAAATGTAGTCCACATCCAAAGCAATGAAACCGAAGTCGTTGAGCTGGTGAACCCTTGATCCCGTAGCCATGACGTGACCGTTGTAGAACCACTCGATACGCATGGTCGGATCGCCCACAGGCTCCACGCGGCAGTCAAAGTGAATTGGACCACCCTCGGGAACATCCAGATTGTCCTTGATTTCCTCAGTGAACTTCGGTGGGTTAGGCTGCTCTTCATCAATCACAATCTCCTCCCGCTTGTGCATGCTCTCCTCGAGCTTCTGCAGGCTCTCAGTGCCAGTGCGGAAGTTGGAAGGCAACTGGGGCTCCATGACGATGCCCTGGCGACCCTTGACCTGCAACTTGCAAGAGACCGTAGCCTCACCATGTTTGTTTGTAGCCTTGCAAGTGTACAATCCCGAATCGCGCTGATAACAACCGGCGATTTCGAGGATAACGAAACCGAAGTCATTGATGGTCTTGATACGGGAGCCAGCCCACAAAGCCTTGCCATTGTGGAACCAATCCACACGCATAGACGGGTCGTTGATTGGCTGCAGACGGCACTCGAAGTGAGCCATCGCGTTCTCCGTGATAACCATGTCGAAGGGCGAGGTGATGAACTCTGGTGGCTTGCCAGTATCATCATCGGGTACAAATTCGGTGCTGCGGGATCCCAAGCCTTCCAGTTCGGCGATACGATCGATTGTTCCCTCCATGCCCTTAGGCAACTGAGATTCCATGATGATGCTACGCTTACCCTGGATTTTCATTGTGGCAGTGGTCACGGCCTCACCGTATTCGTTGATTGCACGGCAAGAGTACTCTCCGGAGTCCTCGGGATACACAGGAGAAATCTCCAAAATGACGAATCCAAAGTCACAGAAAGTACGGAAACGAGAGCCAGCCTTTAATGGACGGCCATTCCAGTACCACTCGACCTTCAGTTTGGGATCGTCAGCGGGCGTTATCCTGGCCTCAAAGTGGGCATTCTCACCCTCGCGCAGATTGTCGATGTTCTCCAGTGGTACAGTGAACACTGGGGCCTTGCCCTTGGTCTCTTCCGTAGTTTCTTCGCGAGTGCGCACCATGCTGTACTCCAGGTTGGCAATTTTCTCCAGACCACCCTCCATGCCACGAGGTAGTTGTGAGTCCAAAATAAGGCTTGCCTTCGAGGCACACTTAAGCGAGGCACGGGTAGTATCCTCTCCATACTTGTTGTAGGCCCTGGCCTCGTACACTCCTGAGTTCTCTTCGTAGCAGTAAAGGATGTCCAAAATGACAATGCCAAAATCGTGGAAGGTACGGAAACGGTGACCATGAGGCAGTTTCTTGCCGTTGAAGTACCATTCCACCACCAAATCGGGATCGGTAATGGGAGTCAGACGCGCCTCAAAGTGAGCCGACTGTCCCTCCACCAACTTGGTTACATCGACGATCTGGGTAATGAACTTGGGCGGCTCAGCAACCACAGGAGCGGAGGTATCGCCCTGTTGTCCTTGCGGGCACTCTAGCTCTCTTATCCTCTGCAGCGAATCCGGCTGCAAGCTGTCATAGAACACTCCACCACGGCCCCCACAGTTGAGGGTGGTGCGGGTGAAGTCCTCGCCGTACTTGTTCCAAGCCCTGCACACATACTCTCCACTGTCATGATCCTGCAAATAGGAAATGTCCAAGACGACGTAACCAAAGTCGGAGACAGTCTTGATTCGGTTGGAGTGACGCATCAGCTTGCCATTGTGATACCACTCCACCTTCAGTTCCGGATCGTTGACAGGAATCAGAGTGCATTCGAAATGGGCGGACTGACCGTCCTTCAAGCCCTGCAGCGGTTGGATGTGGGAAGTGAAGCGCGGTTTCTGGCCCCTCGGCTTGTCCACACACTCCAGGGTGCAGCTGATTTCAGCCGTTCCGTGTTTGTTGGTCGCGCGGCAAGTGTAAGTGCCGGTATCCTCGATCTTGGTGCCAAGAACCTCCAAAGCAACTGTGCCAAAAGCGTAGATCGTACGCACACGATGGCTAGCTTCCAGCACCTTGCCGTTGTAGAACCACTCGATGACCATGCTTTGATCACCCACAGGAATGAGATTGGCCTCAAAGTGAGCCAACTCACCCTCACCGATGTCGGCGATGTTAACGAACTCAGTGGTGAAGCGTGGTGGGATGCCCAGATCCGGTTGCTCTGGCTTAGAGCCATCCTTGCGAAGAGAGTCCTCCAGATCCTGGATCTGCTCCAAGCCTTCGGCGCCCTTCGGGTGTTGGGTGGATTCGATGATGCTCTCCTTGCTCGTACAGAAGATGGTGGTCGACGTGAAGGCCTCACCAGCTTTGTTGTATGCCTTGCAGGTGTAAATTCCCTGATCACGGGCATAAACCTCGATCATGTCCATGGTGACAAAGCCGAATTCGCTGGTCATCTTGAAACGAGAGCCATGCTGCAGCATCTTGCCGTTGAAGTACCACTCGATGAACAAGTTGGGATCCTCCTTGGGCTCCACGTTGGCCTCGAGATGGATGGGCTGCGCTTCTGACAGATGGAATTCTGCCTGCAGCGGCTTGGTCCATACTGGTGGTGGATATTGGGTCTCCGGCTTAGTAGTCTTGCTTGTGTAGCGGTTGGCAAGCTCCTCCTCGGTTTCCTGGACGGCCTCTAGACCAGCCTCTCCCTGCGGATGCTGGGTGTCAAGGAACATGGTCTTGCCGCCAGTGCACTTAAGGGTGCCAGAGGTGGTGGCAGATCCCTTGCTGTTGGTGGCCTTGCAGGTGTAAACACCGCTGTTCTCAGCATAAGAGTTGGTCAAATCCAAGGCGCAGTAGCCAAAGTCGTAGATGGACTTGAACTTGGCAGCGGCCTGCAATGGCTGACCATTGTAGAACCACTCGATGGACATGGTTGGGTCCCGAGCCGGCTCAACATTGCACTCGAATCGCACGTTGTCGCTTTCCTTACACTCAATGTTGTTCAGATGAGTGATGAACACAGGAGTTTCATAAGTGGGTTCTGGAGCCTCTGGACGTCCCTCCTTAGGTGCCTCCAACTCGCCAATGCGTGGCAGCGAATCTGGATGCAAAGACTCAGCCTGAAGCCAGTGACGATCTTCGATTTTGAGAGAGGAAGTCGAAACGGCTTCGCCCACCTGGTTTGTGGCTTTGCATGTGTAAATAGCGGAGTCATCCCCACGTAGTCCATTGATAGACAAAGTTACCAGTCCAAAGTCGAATGTGCTGCGGATGCGGGAGCCAGTGGTCAGAGAAATACCATTCTTAAACCACTCAATGCGAAGGTTGGGATCCGCACGCGGCTCCACCTGAGCTTCCAGGAGGACATGTTGACCCTCGTGCAGCTTATCGTAGCTCTGCAGGTGGGTGGTGAACACCGGAGCCTGTTGAGGGGTTGAGTCGACAAACATCTCGGGCACCCGGTTCATGGCAGCCTCCTTCAGGCGAATAGCCTCCCAGGACTCCGGGATCAAAGGCTGACCATCGATGTTAGACTTGGTCTTAACCTTCATGGCAGTGGATGAAACAGCCTCACCAGCGGCGTTGTAGGCACGGCACATGTAGACACCGGCATCCTCTGGCACCACTGCAGTAATATCCAAAGTGACAAAACCGAAGTCGTGAGTGGTACGCAGACGAGAGCCCATTTGCAGCTCCACGCCGTTGATGAACCATTCGAACTTGAGCGAAGGATCTCCTACAGGCACCACACGTGCTTCGAAGTGGGCATGAGCACCCTCCCAAAGTTCCGAGGGTCCAGTGAGCAGTTGGGTGAAGATTGGTTTCTCAAACAGGCGCTCGGGTTCGGTGGGGCGCGGAGCCAACGGTTTCTCCAACTGGTGAATGCGACTGATGCTGTCCGGATGCTGGGTATCCATCTGAATGCTGGCTTCAGAAACCACACGCATAGAAGCAGTGGTTACAGCCTCACCCAAAGGATTGACAGCGCGGCACATGTACACGCCCTCGTCCTCCTTGCGGATGTGGGAGATATCGAGCGAGACGAAACCGAAGTCGTGCTGCTTGGTAATGCGAGAACTATCTTCGATGATCTTCTCGTTGCGGTACCACTCGACCTTAAGGTTTGGATCTCCCACGGGGATCAAGCGTGCCTCAAAGTGAGCCGTCTGGTGCTCATTGATTCTATCGATGTTCTGAAGGGGCTGAGTGAACACCGGGCGTTGGCGAGTTCCAGGGGTCTCTGGCTCCTGGCGTTGATGTGGCGCCATCGATTCCAGCTTGCGGATCTTTTCCAGGCCCTCGGGATGCTGAGTGTCCGAGATAATGGTACCACGCGGAATCACTCGCAGATTTGTGGAGGACACAGCCTGACCCAAAGCGTTCACGGCACGCACAGAGTATTCTCCGGCGTCCTCAGCCACGGCATGAGTGATATCCAGGGACACATATCCAAAATCAAAGGTGATGTGGAAGCGAGAGGCCGAGGGCAATGGCTTGCCATTGTGGTAGAACTCAATGCGCAAGTTAGGGTCATGAACCGGGGCGACCTGGGCTTCAAAGTGAGCCGTCTGACCTTCGTAGATTTCGGTAGAGCCGCGAAGCTCGGCAGTGAAGTGGGGCGGGCTAATCGGAGATTCTCCAACCTCGGTACGGGCGTTCGGTACCTTAGACTCCAGCTTCTGGATTTTCTCCAGAGCGTCGGGGTGCTGAGTATCCAGGATCATGCTGCGACGGTTCAACACGCGCACATTGCAGGTGTTGACAGCCTCACCCAGCTGGTTGGTGGCCTTACAGATGTAGGTACCGGTATCCTCGCCATAAACGTACAGAATGTCCAAAGCGACATAGCCAAAGTCGTGGGTGGTGCGATAACGATGGCCGGTGGGCAACTGCTTTCCATTGCAGAACCACTCGATCTTAAGGTTGGGGTCATTGATCGGTTCAACTCGGCACTCCAAGTGGGCGTGTTCACCCTCCTTCAAATGCTCCAGATTGCTCAGGGGAGTAAGGAAAATAGGCTTCTGGCCCTTCTCCTCAACCACGGGCTTAGTGGGAGGAGCGTAGTTCTCCAGCTGGCGGATCTTCTCCAAGCGCTGAGCATCCAAGGTGTCTAGGTCGAGTGTCTTGTTTGCTGTTAAAAAAAAGTTTGGAGTAAGTTAGTTAGATAGTTACAAGATGTAAAGCTAGATTTAAACAATAAAGGAAGAAAGCTTTTTATAAAAATGTGAAAAAAATTGACCCAAAAACCAATCAAACTAAGGATGAGGTGTTATAGGGGACAATGTCACAACCATTTTGAGGTATACCAATCCAAAATCGGACATCATTAAGAAAAGTTATGGGGTTTTAAGTGCTGCCTTTGGGCCATTTTTCGAACGTTATGCGTTGAAAACATCTGACTTAAGATATTACCCTCTGAAAGGTTATAAAAACTATGTCATTACCTGTTACGTTTACAGCACAAGTCGTGACGGCTTCTCCAATGGCATTCTTGGCCTTGCACATGTAGGTGCCGGTGTCCTCGGCGTGGGCATACAGAATATCCAACGCCACAAAGCCAAAGTCGTAGGTAGTCTTAAAGCGATGTCCTGTCTGAATGGGCCTGCCGTTGCAGTACCACTCTACCTTCATGGTAGGATCGTTTACAGGGGTCAAAGTGGCCTCCAGATGGACGGGAGTTCCCTCGTTGACCTTGGCATTACGAAGTGGGCGTCCGAATTGAGGACGCTCTGCATGGAACTGCTCCTCGTCGGTCTTCCTTTGGAAGCGCGAACTATCTTCCAAGTGTTGGATCTTGGTCAGGGCCTCTTCGTGCTGGGTCTCATGAATAATAGAAGAACGCGAGGATACGTTTAGAACAATCGAGTTGATGGCCTCCCCCAGATTGTTGGTCACACGGCAAGTGTACTCGCCACTATCCTCAGCGTAGACAGTCAGAATGTCTAAAGCGGCAAATCCAAAGTCGTACGTAGTACGGAAGCGATGGCCAGTGCTCAGAGGTTTGCCATTGTGGAACCACTCCACCTTGAGATTGGGATCCGGGTAGGGTTCAATGCGGCACTCGTAGTGGGCACTCTGGCCCTCAACCAGATTTGTAGGTCCAATCAACTTGGTAACGAACACCGGGGCAGTGGTCACGGTGTACTCCTCCTCCTCCCTGCGCTGGTACTTGCTGTGGTCCTCGAGTTGGTGGATCTTGTGCATGGCTGCCTCGTGTTGGGTCTCCAGCTGAATAGAAGTCTTAGACTGCACAATGAGGGAGGCGGAAGTCACCGCCTGACCCAGCTCGTTGACAGCACGGCAGGTGTAGGTTCCGGAGTCCTCAGGGTTTACATATTTCATGTTGAGGGCAACATAACCGAAATCGTGCATGGTGGTTGTGCGGTTTGAGGCTTCAATTGGTTGACCGTTGCGCAGCCACTCCACCTTCAAGTTGGGATCTCCCACTGGAATCAGGCGAGCCTCAAAGTGCACAGCCTGATTTTCGGCCACACGGACATCCCTCACCGGCATGGTGAAAACAGGTGCCTGAGAAACAAACTCATCCTGAACGCTAACGCGCTGGCGCTTGGAACCGTCTTCCAAGTGCTGCAGGCGGGGCAGAGCGGTCTCGTGCTGCGATTCCAGATAGATGGACTTCTTAGTGTGGACAACCGCCACAGCGGAAGTGATGGCCTCTCCCACTGCATTGAAGGCACGGCAAGTGTAGGTGCCGGCATCTTCGGGCAAAGTTGACATGATGTCCAAGGCCACGAATCCAAAGTTATTCGTCTCCGTGAAACGAGATCCAGACTTGAGCGGAAGGTTGTTGTGGTACCACTCGACGCGCATGGACGGATCGGAAACGGGAATCAGGCGGCACTCGAAATGAGCCCTCTGGTTCTCCTTGATCTCAACGTTCTTCAAGGAAGTGGTGAACACGGGAGCCTGCTTGGTGCTCTCGTCAATTTCCTCACGACGAGTGTAGCGCGAGCGATCCTCCAAGTAGTGGATCTGCTCCAAGCCAGCCTCGTTCTGGGTGACAGTTACAATCTGCTCACCGCTACGGCACTGAAGCTCCACTTGCGTTTCATCAGAGCCAATCAGGTTAACAGCCCTGCAAGTGTAAACACCCGAATCCTCTGCAATCAAATGCACAATGTCCAAGGCCACGTAGCCGAAATCGTGAATGGGGCGGAAGCGATGACCCACAGTAATGGGACGACCGTTCTTGAACCACTCTACCTTCAGGTTGGGGTCGGTTACCGGCTCGATCTTGCACTCGAAGTGGGCGTGACCACCCTCGCGGGTGTTGGTCAAACTCTTCGGGTGGGTGAGGAACCGCGGACGAATGTTGACCACCTCGTCGATGAACTCGCTGCGGCGATGGCGGGTGGAGTCCTCCAGATATTGGATCTTCTGAAGACCCGACTCGTTCTGCGTCTCCAAGATCAGATCGTTCTTGGCGATAATGCGCACGGAACAGGAGGTGACTGCTTCGCCCAGTTGATTTCTGGCCTGGCAGGTGTAGACTCCCGAATCGATGGCATAGCAGCCAAGGAGATCCAGGGCTACATAGTCGAATTCATAGGCGGGACGGAAGCGGTGGCCCGTCTTAACAGGTTTTCCATTCACGAACCACTCAATGCGCATGCTTGGATCGCCCACGGGTTGTAGACGGCACTCCAAGTGCACATTGGTACCCTCAATGGTTTCAATGTTGTGCAGACCCCTGGTGAACTGAGGCGCCTGCATGACAGTGATATCCTCCTCCTGGTGGTGGCGGCGCCTTGAATCCTCGAGCAGTTGAATCTGCTCCAGCGATTGTTCGTTCTGGGTCTCAGTCACAACGTCCGTGTGATCGATCACACGCACACAGGCTGAAGTGTGGGCCGAGCCCAAGTGGTTGGTGGCCCTCACGGTGTACTCCCCGGAATCGGCGGCCGTTGCCTTGATGATATCTAAAGCCACAAAGCCAAAGTCATAGTAGGTGCGGAAACGGGAGCCGACGGTAACGGGGCGACCGTTATGGAACCACTCGACGCGCATGGTCGGATCACCCATCGGCTCCAAACGGCACTCCAGATGGATGTTTTTGCCATCGTGGATGGGTTTGGGATCGCTCAAGGGTGTCACAAACACCGGCTTAGACTTGGAGATCTCCTCGATATCATACTGAGGCTCCACGAATGGCTTGTTCTCCAGATTCTGGGTCTTCTCGTACAGGCCGCGATGCATGCTAGATGTGTCGATACTGGAACGAGCTTGAGGTGGATAAAAGAAAGATTAAAAAAGGGTTATTTCTAATAAAAGTAATTCTGCACTTACTTTCCACTATCATCGTTGCTTGCTGCTGAGCTTCACCTAGCTTGTTCCTAGCCACCACGAGATAGACGCCAGCATCTTCGGCGCGTACTTGGGAAATATCCAAAGCGACGTAACCGAAGTCGTAGTAGGTCTGGATGCGATTGGCGGCGGTGATGGCACGACCGTTGTGATACCACTCGATGGCCAGACCCAAATCGCTTTGGGGCTCCACACGGGCCTCGAAATGGGCACGCTGGCCTTCGAGGATTTTGGTAGTGCCCTTCAGGGGACCGAGGAATCGGGGGGCCTGGGTGACGTAGGTCTCCTCCTCCTCGCGTCGTCCGTAACGCGATGAGTCCTCCAGATGCTGGATCTTTTGCAGGCCACCCGGGTGCTGGGACTCCGAGACGATTTCGTTCTTGGAGACCACAGTCAGCTGGGCCACGGTGGTATCCTGACCCATGGCATTGTAGGCCCTGCAAGTGTAGGTGCCGGCATCATAGATGGTCAGCTGCTTGATGGTCAGAGCCACGTAGCCAAAGTTGTGGTAGGTGGTGATCCGGGAGCTGGCTTCCAGAGGCTGTCCATCCTTCAGCCACTCCACGCGCATGGTGGAGTCTCCGATTGGCTCCAGTCTCGCCTCAAAGTGCGCATGCGCGTGCTCGCGCAGATCCAACTGGTTCTGGATCGGTGTCTTGAACTGAGGCGGGGCGATGGCCTCGGCAGCTTCCTGGACATGACGACGCTGCTGCGACTTTCGGTAGTCCTCAAGCTCCTCCACCTTCTCGATGTAACGCTGCTGCTCGGGAATACCCAGGTCGGCAGTGACCTGGGAACGTGAGTGAACACGAATAGAGGACTGGCTGATGGCCTCTCCAATGCGATTCACCGCCCGCACAGTATAGGTGCCAGCATCTTCGGCTCTCAGGTGCAAGATGTTCAGGGAGACATAGCCGAAGTTAAAGATGGCGGTGATGCGGGAGCTGGCCGTAATGGGCAGTCCATCCTTGTACCACTCCACTCGCATGGAAGGATCGTTTACCGGAGTAACCTGAGCCTCGAAGTGCACGTTCTTGCCCTCCTCGAACTCACCGAGATCGCGGAGTGGGCGGATGAACTGCGGCGCCTGATTGAGCTGCTCGTCGATGCTCTCCTGGCGCTGGTAACGCGAGTAGTCCTCCAGCTGGTTGATGTACTGCAGACTGTTGGGGTTCTGCGATGATTGCTCGATCGACGGACGCTGCACCACGGACAGAATGGCCCGGGATTCAGCCACTCCACTGGCGTTGCTCACGCGGCACATGTACTCGCCGGAGTCGTGGCCCATGATGCTCAGCAGATCCAGAGCGATGAAGCCGAACTTGAACACGGAAGTGGCTCGGGCACCTGCGGATTAAATATAGATCATTAGCTTGCTAAGAGGATTCTGTGAGGAGACTGTGAAGACTTACTTGCTGCCAGGGGACGTCCGTTGAGATACCACTCGACGACCATGGTGGGATCGCCGACGGGTTCGATTCGGGCCTCCATGTGGACGCGACCACCCTCGGTCTGCTGCACGTTCTGCAGCGGGATGATGAACTGGGGTGGCGGATAGACGCGGTCCTCCTCACCAGGTCGCAGATGCGGCTTGGCGCGCTCCACATGGCGCAGGTAGATGATTTCAGGACCGGGAATGGGTCTGATATAAAGACACACCTTTGGGTAAATTCTCAAAAGTATAAACGAAGAGAAAATACTCACTCGGGCTCGATGACTTTCGTTGGTCTCGGGAGATTGAGACGACGCTGCTCATAACTTGGTTGTTCCCTGGGAACCTCGACATACAGCCTGGCCCGATTGGCCGTAGATCCAGCAATGTTCTGGGCGGTGCACTGGTACCATCCGGCGTCGGTGGCGCTGACACGCGGAATCTCCAGGCAGGTGGCTCCGCCATCGATGCCCACGAAGCGCTCGGCGGTGGACGAGATCTGGACGCCGTCCTTCTGCCAGGTGATGCGTGGCTGCGGAGTACCGATGGCATTGGCACTCATGGTGATGGGTTCGCCCTCGCGCACAGTCATGGTGCTGAAGCGTTGGACAAATTGTGGTGCGACAACCTGTTCCTTCTCCAGCACATTCAACTGTGCCTCGATGGCCACCTCACCGGCCTTGTTGCGGGCCAGGCATTGGACAGCTCCGGCATCCAGACGGGTCACGTTGGTGATCATCAGCGAGTGGCTGCCAGATTCGTTGACCAGAATCTTGTGCGAGGCATCGTCGCGGACTTGGCGGCCGTTGATCAGCCAGATGACCTCGGGATAGGGATTGCCGGTGACACGGCAATCGAACCTGGTCATGCGACCCTCGGTGATCTCGCGATCTCCAAAAGCCTTAGCAAACGCAGGAGGCAATGCCTTGCCCGCCTCCAACTGCTCGGCCATCACGTCGACTGGCTTCGGTTCGTAGGCGGATTCTGCGGCGGGTTCCACGGCCAACACGGCGGATGAAACCACGCAGCCCTGCAGATTCTCGGCGAGCAGAGTGTAATGACCGCCATCGCGAGCCGTGGCGTTCTTCACACGGAGCGTGGCCACTCCACTCGAGTAGGAGATCTCGTACTTCTGCGATGCCACCAAGCGCTGGCCATTGTGGAACCAGGTGAGCCGGGGCTTCGGGTTGGAGCCAACGCGGGCCGTGAAAACGGCATCGGATCCCTCGATCAGCTTGGAGCTGCGCGGCTTCTGCGAGATCTGCGGCGCCTGCGCAGGACCCTGGCTGCGGTCCAGCTCCTGGGAGAGCTGGGAGTCCTGCTCGTAGCCAGACCGACGGGTGATCGCCTCGCGGAAGGAGACCTCGCGCAGCAGTCGGTACTCGAAGGTATCCACACGGAACTCCTCCTCGATCGAGGTGAACGAATACCCGTTCGAGTAGATGTTCTTCTCCAGATTCTGGATCGGCTGCAGCGTGGGCATGGGTGCTCCCTCCGGCTGGATGTATACGCTGCAGATGGCCTCGCCGTATTGGTTGCGGGCCGTGCACGTGTACTCGCCCTCGTCCCCGGGTCCGATCTGGTTGATCAGCAGGGACACGTCGCCGGTGGCCTCGTTGTAGCTCATCCGGAACTTCTGCGACTCGAGAAGGGGTGCGCCTTTCCGGGTCCAGGTCACGAATGGCTTCGGGTTGCCACGCAGGCGTCCCTCGAACAGGGCGTTGCCGCCTTGGGCGAAGCGAGCGTTCTTGAAGATCTGCTCGAAGACGGGCGGCGAGATGTCGCCCTGGGCGTACACGTGTGTCAGCGAGGGCGGCACGTAGGCCCCTCCTCCGATGCTGCCACCATGAACTTGTTGCACTGCAAAATCAATTTGTGGAAAACATACTAATTAGGCACAGAAAGCTTTGGGATGCACAGGCATGATGAGGTCGATATGGCATTAGTTTAAAAATTTATTTTTTATAATTAAATGATTAAATACATTTTTCAAAATATTTTCAATGTCTATAGTACTTTATAACCTCGCACTCCATTAGAAGTTATGGAAAAGTTGCAGATTTTGGAACCGATACTGCTGCTTATAGTTAAAATAATTATCATTTCGAAAAATTTGAACTTAGTATTTAATTGTCTTTGATAATAAAATATAAACTTATAAATCGAACGGGCGTATCTAAACGGTATCTATTAAAGTAATTGATTGATTTTTTTTCCAAATGAAAATATTTGATTGACAAATTTCTCCAAGCTAATAAGAGAAATTGAATCCTAACTTAAAACTTTATTTTATTTCTTCGTAATAAATTTAAAAAGTCATAAATTATACAAATTTCAAACTTGTATGTAGCTTAGTATCCCAAAATCGTTTAAGTTTACTTATTTTTAACTTGGCACACGTTCGAAACTATTTATAATTGTCATCACACAAAAGCAAACACCTAGATATATTTTTGAACTCGTATTTGTACCTGTTTATTTAAAAATATATTTTCGTTTGTTTATCGATTAAATCCTTAAAGTGTGTCATTAACGTTACGTACATATAGGTTGATGACTTTCGGGACAGCTGATCAAAAGAAATGCGTGAGGTAAACAAATTTAGAAATCAGCTGATGGCTCTCTCTGTTGTCCTCTTTCATTTCTCTTTTTCTATTTTCTCCCAAAAGCTTCGGGTGATCATCTTCGTGACTTGTCTTCGTGTTTTTGTATAAGAGAATCCCGAGGTTGATATTCTCTCAATTCTCTTCAACACATGATCGTCAAAAAAATGTAAACAAATTGCTGGGTATACTCTTATACGGATTATATATAGTATCGGTATATGTATGTCAGTGCAGTCGTGGGAGATGAATAGATAAACTTAAAAATAGACCGCGTTTAAAGATGTTTTCATCAATCAAGATTTAGATGATGAAACATAAGTTGACACATAAATGTTTTTGTAGTTGAATAGGATGTTTTTCACAATGTTTGAGAACAAAATTTATTTTTGGTTTTTCAAAAGTTTATTGGTGACACATGTGTTGACAGATAAAAAAGTATATGTATCTATAATTACGATTTAATCCTTTGTGGATTTTTAATTTTCTACTTAAATTTTTTCTGACTCAACAGATTAATCATGAAAAATTGAATAAATATACATTTTTAAAAGAACCTTCTTTTTAGAGTCACAATTGTTTATTCTATATTGTGTTACTCTAAACTCAAATTACAGTCTACAATAAGATTTTCTTACGACGAAAACAAACCTTGATATACAAACAAATTTTGATATACCAAAAACTAAGAGTAATGGAACCTTTCGCAGTAATTATTTTATTGAACACAACGAGGATTATTTTGCAAACATTAAATTGTTGAAAAAACAAAATCGCTTCAGAAAAGTTGTAATTCAACAGAATGAAAAACATCTGGTGATATCAGCTTACATTCGTTTTAAGCAATTTAACCAATGTTCACTTTAACGGATTTAATTCGATTAAACAATTCTGTATTAAATTATCTATTTTAAAATTAATATGTAATTCGGGGGGGACGGTGGCCCAGCAGGTAGAGCGCTGGCCACCGGTCCGAAGGCCCGGGTTCGAGTCCCAGGCTCCTCGAGAAAAAGAAACGGTCTCTTTCTCCAAATCTCCACCACTTTTATGCTCTATCGTTCTCTTCACATTAGTAACAAATTTCGGCTCCCCGGACCCGCACACCCCCTCGTCCACGTTACTATGGACCCAACAATAGAACTTTTCGTCACTCCTAGATGGCGCCAGGTGGCAACCCCACTGCTAGGATAAGTCGCTACTGGCTTATCACCAGTACGATCGAAAACCAAAGATAAATGAATCCTCTTCAAAAACTGTAGAGGCTCTATGCTCCCGAGTGGAGTTAAAGAATGTAATTCTATATTAGGTAAAGGGTTGAATTTTTTTAAGAAGCTCTACTATGAAAAGTTGTTTATTTAAAATATACAAAAGTTTATATAAAACCTTATGATTTTTATGAAGACTAAACAAATCTAGATATTTTTGGTAATTGAAAAGGTTACTTTAATATTAAATTTTTTTTTTTAATTTTATTAAAAAAAATTGTTAAAAAACTAGTGAACCAACTGCAAACGTTTACTTAAACTTTTTTTGTCTTACTTCTAACCTTTATTAGTTGACCTGATTGTATTTAATAGTTTCAATGTAAGTTTAATACCTTCATTAAACAAATAGATATGTGCTTTAATTTCAGTAGAGATTTTAAAGTCTATTTGGCAAGCAAGTAATGATTTCAAGGCCATTGAAGCGAAACGGCAAGCAGGGCGATGATGAAAGGCTTTGTCCTAGATCCCTCGGCCAATCAGCGGAAATTGCTTGGGGACAGTGGGGATTCTAAATCCACGGTGTGAATCCCACCGAGCCCAGCGAACTTCCCCAGTGATTGGTCGCCCCCGCAGGGGGACCTCCAAGGACACAGGTGACGAAATCGAGAACATTAACTGACCTTGCCGCTGGGTGGTAAATTGGCTGCGCTGGACATGCTGCTCGGTGCGGCTAATCCTTTGCTGCTGGTGCTGCTCCTGGCTGGAGTGGGAGTACTCCTGGGTGGAGTACTGCTGCACCTGCTGCTGCTGCTGCTGGTTTTGCTGCTGCTGGTACGGGTTCGGATTTTGTCGTTGCATTTTGCTGCGTTATATATCACTATATATCATTTAAAATGACAACCAAATCGTTGCAGAATGAACTGCACAGTAGAACTATACACCTCGCGATCACTCTTTCTTTGATTTGCTTCTTCACTTGATATACTTCTATATATATTTATCTCTCTTTGGTCGCTTCTTAAAATTGCTGAAATTAAAAATGATTTTCCACTATGATTCGCGAACGAATATACACTTTGGCAAACATTAATTTTCATTTTGTGGCTTTGGTATCTTTGATATATTTTTATGTTTGCCTGTCACAAATTGTGTTTAATGGCTTTGCATTTTCTTTTTCTACACACGAGTTTATATAAATGAGGCAAGATCAGAGATCTTCGCATGATGATCAGAATCACCCATCCTTCTTCATATTCATTTTTATATTCTTTGCCTGTGACTAACTATTTTTAGCCTCGAGAATATTTCACTGCGACACACAGATACGCACTCACACACACTCTCTATCACACACATACACACACACACAGACAAAAACACAGTCGGTGGTAGCTTCTTATTTTTCACGGGGCTATTAATAAACATTTTTCTGGTTCTCCTATAGGAAAACCTTGCGTTGGCCCAATGATCTCTGTTCGAGAATTTTCACATTTTCCAGTCACTATTTTGGCTGTTCCAGTCGGTAATCCTTGCCAGGATCAGCCAGAATAGTGCACATTCACACACATTGCAGGAGCGCATATCCATGTCCTTTTAATATGTGCAGGTTCGACTATATATATAGAGCGCTTGATATCTGTTTGCACACGATTTCACAGTCCATTCGTTGAATTGGGTGCGGACCCACGAAGTGGAGCCACCGAATCACCGATCCAATACGATCCGAATCGGAATCGGAATCGGAATCCGAAACGAAGCACCCGATCGGGTGATATTTTTAGATATTTAGCGCACTGAAAAATTCTTTCGGCATTTTTCTCAAAGTGGTTTCGTAACCAGGGAAAATTTTCATGAACACTTTTTCGATCACTATTCCTTCAGGATTTGCTTAATTTTCACACTTTATATCGATCCTTACTCGAAATTGCGATATCCTTTCGACGTTGTATATATATTTGCGTGTGTGCGCGACTCTAGGCGAACGAAATGGCTGCGAACGTATACATATATCTGTACCGTGTGGTGCGTTTAGATATAGATATATGTATATTCTTTTAAAAAATATCTATTTTCAAACTGTTTCAAGTCATAATCCCCGAGACTGAAACCAAGACGTCGATCGTTTGTGAGGTGCGAGCGAAGAATGACAAAATCTCGAGGAGAATGCGATCAAGTAGCTGTGCCTGCACAGCCGATCCCCACCCGATTTCACACGATTCCAAACGATCTCCCACCGAGAGAGATGTGGAGTATCCGACGATGGACGACTGTGCTCCACATGAGATATTTTTGCATTTTCCTCGGACCCATCTGCGTGTTGTTGTTGTGGGAAAATAGTTTCCGAGCGATAAATGCATTACACAGTACTGGGGGGGCATATAGGTTTTTGGTTCCATTCCGATTTTGAATACGTTTTGCAAGTGTTGTGATTAAAAGGTATTTTTAATAGAATACATAACTTATTAGGGTTTCATCCATTGTAACATGTGCAATCAACAAAATCGATGATACTGTATCTTTGTCCATTGATTATATTTAGTAATTAAATGTTATGAAGCGAAAAGTAATCATTTTTATATGATGAACTTTAGCCAAAATAAATTAGGGAGAGGTTTTTGGCCTGGTAATCTACAAGTTTAATACACAAAGATTTTCCCCAGGAGACTGAGTAATTTGCTTTGGATCGCTAAAGAGAGAGATTTCTATGGGGAGTCTTGGCTTCTCTCGTCGGGCCTTTGAAAAGTGTTCGGGTTTTGAGTAAGTTGGCTAAAAATATATGGCGATTTATTTTTGACACGTATTTTTCAACATTGTGTGCACGAAATCGAAGAAAAAGAAGCCATCCTTGAGAAATTCTAGATACTGTAGGAGTCAAATGCATACACACGGCACAGATCCGTATCTATCGATTCTGGAATCTAAAGATCCATTCCATATGTTGCCCTCTCTTTCGAAAAACCGAAGGAAATATCCATCAGAGTTGGTCTTAAACAAATAAATAAGATACCAGTTGCAATCAAATCTCAGAATTATACGTTGCACAATATATTTAAAGGCTAATGGTAGCTATGCCTCGGGCTTTTTTCACATTTTCCACATAATTTATTTTATTTGTCTAAAATTAAAGGCACACAGATGTATAGATATGTATAAAATTTGGCTCGCCCGCCCGTTTGATACATATAACTTGATTATTCATTTTGTCTCTTAATCATCAGCATAGAGATGTGTTTCAGTGACCAATTGGCAAAAATGTCGCAACTTTCTATTTCTTTTTAGCCATTTCAGAAAAGCTCAAACAAATTGCACCTAAAACGTCAGTTGGTTTTGGCCTTTTATGGCGAGGAGTGGCCCCAAGGCAGTCACTATAATGCTTTTTACGGCAACCCGGTTTGCAATGGTCATGCAATATTGTTTTTTATTGTGCACAAATTAATTGTTAACATGGCGAGTAGTAGTAACAGCAGCACAGCAGTAACAGAATCATTAAATTACAAACTCGGCGAAGTTGATTCTAGGCAGCCAGGCGCAGCGACAGCACAGTTTCGACTGTCACCGTCCAGATACAAATGTATCTACAACCATTAGAGTGCCTCGGCCAGAGATAAGCCAAGAAGCAGGGAACACGCACCGCGTCTAGCTTTCCTCTGGCCGAGACATCCACTAAAACAACAACAGGAGTAACAGTTAGCCGGTTCTGCAAGGCAGATTGCAAAGACGGTTTGCGTTTGTTGTTAGCGATGCGCTACGAAAATAATATTGCACAGTGGAAAAAATAAATTCAATTACATGGTCGATCAATTACTACGATATGGTGTACTAAAAATTAATTTAAAAGATCACTTGGCATAATAGAAAAGTGAAAAATAATTAAAATTGATGTTCTTGATTTTGTATATTTCCAAATTTATTTAAAGTATATTTCATTTTGGGATTATCCAACCCATATACCATCAGTATTCTTGCAGATATTGAATAAAAAATGATGGTAGAGATTGGCTTGAATTTGTAATAATTTATTGTAGATAGGCAACAGCCAGTTTCATCTTGGACCAAGTTTCTCCCAGTCTACAGCTCTTCCCAAGCATTTGCTTGACAGCTGTCTGTAAGATTACCAGCACTTATCTTTCTGGCCAGGCTGAGGCTGCCCTGTATCTTATCGCAGATGCTTTGTGCAAAAATATTCGCCCAATTATGTCACGGCCCGGGAATGTGCTAACAAACACAACACGTACACAGGAAAACATTTCTCTTCTCTTTAATTAGTATTATTAATGGTTTAGTACACATAGTAAGGCAACTGAAGGTTAGGTTCATTTTTAGTTTTTGCTCAAGAATTAGTTTGGCTTCTCCCAGCTCTCGAACTCGGGCGATGCATTCAATTTACTGCAAACAAGAAGAATAATTCGGGTTCGATTAACGATCGTTCAGAAGACAAGATCGACAGGATGGAACAGATGCTGGATGAGTTGACACTTGAGTGTTGGAAGCAGGCAACATGCAACATGCAACAGGCAGCGAGATGATAGACTTATCTTGAGATCGTGTATGTGAATGCGAATGCCGCCCCACAAGTTGCTGAGCTGGCGACCCCAAGCCAAGCCAATCCCATCTTGAAGTTATAAATACACTGCACTCTTTTATTGTTTTGTGTTTCGCCCAGATGTAATGAGTCGCGTAAGCAGATCTGCACTGTCAGAGTCTCGTTTTGGCATCGAATTTCGCGACCATTGCAGCCAGTCTCAATCTCAATCTCTATCTCAATCCCAAGTCCCAGTCCCGGTCTTGGGCCCCCACCATTCAGCAAAACCATAAAACCGAAACGGAACGTCGACAACTACGATGTTGTGGCGACTGCGCCCCAAGAGCACTGCATGCCAAGCGGCAATTTAGGTATAAAATGTCCAAATGTGGTCGAGGTAATCCCTCCAAGCGGGTGTCATAACTACATAATGTTTTTACTTTAATTTTATCAGAATTCACTTTTCTAGTTCATTTTAAATTCTGATGCCAACATAAAAAATTTTAAATTAGCTTTATATACTATTAGACACTGTATCCTATTTTAATATTTCGTAATTTGTATGAAAAATAAACAAGTTATTCCCCAGTATAAAATATTTAAACAAAATTTATAAACGAAAAATCTTCCCAAAAATCTTTAAAAAAATAGTTATTAAACAATTTAAAGTGTACCTGATCTTCGACTCTTTTTCTAAATTTCTTCTTCCACTCTTTCATATCAATTGTTTATAAAATTAGACACACGAGTCGCTGTCGAAGTCTCCATCCCCCAGAGCCGCTATATACTCGAACTGTCGAACCTCCCTTTCTGGTTAATGAAAGTTGGCAATGTGGTGCAGAGCGGTGGCTGTAATCTATATTTAGTGATTTTACATGCGGTACCTCAAAGATATTCGAAAAATGTGTGTATGGATTGCGTGACATGGCTAATGGATGCGAGATTGAGAGATCGAGACTGCCCATTTTGTAGTTAGCAATTTTCCATATCGCTTCAGGATCAAAATGATGCATTTAGCCCGTGATTAATTATGGATTTATTATGAAGACCACATTAAATGTATACCGAACGGAAAATGGCATTGAAATGGTGGGTTTTGTTTACCTGTTTGCTCACGGAGCTGCGGCTCCTGGCTGAAATCCGAAATGGACACGGTCTTGGTGCTCACGTAACTAATGGACTCGATCGTGGTCTCCCACTTTTGGAACGTGTTGATGGTGTCGCTTCGCAGAGCTCGACTCGACTGGGAATGACTGTTGTTCCTCAAGGGCGTCGAGGAGCGCAGTGACATGGTCGATGTGGCCGAACCCATGAACGAACTGGTCGGCGAACTGGTCGACGAGGAGGAGAACGAAGCCGATTTGCGCAAAGGCGTTTTATTGACGCCATTATCCAGGGGCTGCTTAGGGGTCTCCGGCGCCGGTTCCTCTTCGGTTATTAGCAGGCTATCCGTTTGAGTGCCCTGATCTGCAGATATGTACAGTAAGAGAAATATTTGTGGATTGCATTAGTTTGTGATTTTAATATCAGCTTGATTTTTGAGTCTCATAGTCTTCATAGATTTTACAATAACTTAAACCTTACACTGGGTAACTTTTATTTAATCGGTAACCAAATATCTAAAGATTGTTTGGGCACCACTTATTTCAGTGGGTTATCATATTTCATAGAGCTTTTAGCTATTTTCTTTGTGTAGAAAAGAGAAAGAGTTTGTGCGAATTAGAAACACGGAAACGATTGGGATTCGGATTTTATAGCTGCACTGCTGCGTTTTTATATTCCTTTACAATTAGCTGAGAACAATTAAATTCTATCGCCTCTTTCGCAATTAGAGGAATTTGTGTTTATGCTAAAAGTTGGCCCCGATTTTCCGCAGAACAGAATTCACTGCACATTTTCAACACACCAAGTTGTCTATTGTCTGCGTTTGTTCGCTGTTTAGTTTGCTAATTTATTGCGTGCGTATAAATAAATAAGTTGCCAAGATTCCTTGCGCCTTGCGATAGAGTGACTGACTCGGACAGGGTCACCAACGCGTGGCAGGACGGATGTTTCGGATCGCGTTCCCAAACCCATTCCTCAGATGAGGCTGCCTGTCATCTGGGATTATGCAACCGAGTTCGCGGCTCTTTCAAGGCGCCAGTCTTTCAGTTTGTTGCGCCCAATTAAATTAAATCTATGCATATAGACATCAGAATGTTTTCATGTTTGCACAAATGTTGGGCGAACTGAAGTGCTAAATACTTTTGGCCAACATCTGCGCAGTTCTGGGCCAATTCCTTTGCTTCTCGCACTGCTGTAGGTTTATTACATTTCTCTGCTGACCGTGGGTGTGAGGAAAACAATTTTATGGGGCTCCCAACTACTTTATAGTATCGGATTCGAATGCCTTTGGCTCCTATCCAGTTTATAAACATATACACTTGGTTAAATGTACCTATAGATTGTCGTGGCAGCCCAAAAATTCGATAGAACTCAAAGCGGAAATAGTCTTATTAAAATTTATATGAGCCAAGTGCGCCGGCCATGCAAGATTATCTGCCAGAAAATATAAATTATATAAAACAAATATCTATATTTCTGCTGTACGGCGTAGTTAGCCGAAGGAACAGTTTAGTTAAAAGCTCATTAAGTCCCCAATGATCTTTAAAGTCCTTAATTATTTTGCATTTATTTAAAGTGCGACCACGCCTTTGCCGTGTTGACCAATCTAATATAATATCATAATAAACCACTCAACTGGATCCCACAGAAAGACCTATTTAATGGATCACCAAAATGTTTCCTCATCCACAGAACTCTGAAGAAAACAAAGAAAATCTGAGAAAATATGAACGAATATTTAAAGTGGCAAAGGAAAACTGTGTTGTGTGTGTGGTTTGTGACTTGTTGCGCTGAGTTCATCTGCTATTTTAAGAAAATTACCCAATTAATTTAGAAAAACACAGAGAGCAGGGAAAAAACCATAACGCGAATGTTTGTATAGCTGCGGAAGAGACTCATCGAAAAAAAATGTAGATGGGACACTTTCGTGGTCAAATGGTAGCACACATTTTGGCACATTCTGCCAAAAATCCAGGCAGTTCGAATCGTATTCACGCAGGGGCAATGTTTGGCTTTGGGTATTGGAATCTGGTGAAATAACATTTACTATATCGCCCTGGCAAAACATTCGCCACATTGTGTTTGCTCTAAGCGAGTTAAAATTTGCAAACGCACCAAATAAAAAAGAAAAAATATAAAAAAGAAAAGCAACGAATTATACTATACAGGCCGGACACGGTCCGAATATTTTAGTTTCGCATTGAAAAACGCCACACGCGAAATGTTTCATATTTTTTGCGTTAAATTTTATTTTGGCATATTTTCATAATATATCTGGCAGCGTTTTATCGGTGCGGGAAGCAATTTTATGAATCATTAAGGTGCAAGCGCTGGCCATATGTTTGCATTCAGAATCCGAATTCAATGAAATTGCCACGCCATTATACTTTCGTAAGCGATGCACTAAACACTGGCCAAGGTGCTGCAAATGAGTCAGAGTGCTTGCATTTGGCCCGTGAGTAGGCTTTAATTTGTTTCTTGGACTGCTGCCTAATGACTCGATCACTTTGGCCAGGCACTAAGCACACAATTAGAATTGGCAGATTGGCAGGCGAGGACCTTGAACCAACCAAAACCAGCACACCCACCCACCCACTGATACTAATTATCGACAGAAGTGTGTCCTAAGTACCAAAGTAATTGGGATACTTTGACGAGGTGTTGCTCAGTTTGGCTATTTTATATGCCAAAATTACTGTGTTAACAAATTGTACTTCTTCAATATTACAAACTTTGTTCCCAAATGTTTTATGTAAAACGACGTAATTATCAAATGACACTAAAACCGTTCTTTGTTCAATTGCTTAATAAATTTGTAAGCATATTAAAACGAGGTGCAGCTAGTTTTAGTAAACGATTTAGCTTGTTTCTGTAAGATATTCTACTAGCGGGCAGCACTGCCGGTGATGTGGGTTTGGTGTCAGTGTCAAGGACTCTCGAAGACCTACATACTGGGCCCATGTGTACCCATTGCCTTGACAGCCGAGAGTGTTTATGTCTGGCCTGTCCGAGTATCTTCGCTGCCCCTTTGTCTCTTTTAAATTTTTTCGCATTTTGCGCGTTCTACTCGCCGTTGATTCTTGGCAAGCTATCGCGACATAATAGAAAATGCCGAGAAAATTAGATAAATAAACATTGCCGAAAAGCAAATAAATCATCGATGAGCACCAAAGCGAAACTTAGTCGGAACGTCAGCCGCCCACATTTCATTCCACACAAATCCAAACATTTGTTTAACCGATGCCTCTTGAATTTTTTGAATTATCTGACCTGATTTTGAAAGTAGTTTTTTGGCCTAGTTAATATATACTATTTAAACGGCAATGAGTAATGAGTAAGCAAATGACTGAAATTAATTGTTAGACCAACTGCCTGGCAAGATATATGTGAGTTTAAAAATCTTTTTATGAATCAAAATTGTAAACTTTTTCTGAGGCAGCTAATATGTTCAATAAGCACATAATTAATCTTGAAAGATCAAAGTACAACGAAATCAATGTCAAAAGTATGATGTTCTATTAATTTATTTTCGCAGATCTAAGGGAAGAATAAATTATAATCGTAGACACACTAAGTTTACAAAAGAATAATAATAAATTTTCCATAATTGCTTTTATTAAAAAATTTTAAACAAATATTTTGGAAAATTCTAAGATCATAGTTTGCTTGGCGCCATCTAACGCTCCCAAATTTCGAAAGCTTTTTCGAATAAAAGTGTATAGCTTTTTCGTACATAATGTCCGATCTTCAACCTAGAGCGCGCCACCAAAAAAGCTTTTCACGACCGACTATGAATGAAAAACTCGGAAAAATCTTATATTTATTGTTGTGGTATTTTCCAAAAAACACACTTTCCTCCTTCGTTTTAATATTATTTATTTCATTTTCGACAAAAACACAAGTAATACTATATTCCTATTTTGTATGCATGTAAGATTAGGACTTTGGTTAAAGGCTCAAAATCCCATCAACCCAGTAAACAAAAGGCCACGGGCACAGTAAATACACACACACAATAAGGCGAAACTTTGGCATTGAACAAATCATAAAGCAAATAATAATAATAGTTTCATTTAAACAAGCTTAGTATCTAAATCCACGGTTTGTGCTCGAAACGGTCAAATTTCCGCTAGTGGTGGCTGCTCCCAGTTGGTTCACGGCGGTGCAGGCGTAGCTGCCGTTGTCATCTGCCGGATTTCGAGCCATTTCCACGGATGCGAAAAATCCAGGAGGATGCGAGGAAGAGAGAAGGTACAACGATTAATGAGCTGCCCCGATTTCATAATACACGGGAAAAAATGGGCTCTATTATAACGAGTCATCGTGTTTCTAGATATCAAAAATGATTTGCAATACTTCAATAATATTTTTCAAAAGTTGAACTTCAATCATTAGAAAAGAAAAAACTATTTAGTTGGATAAAAGTTTTCCATTTTTTTTTTTTAATTAAATTTCGGAACTTCTCAGAAAATATAGTGTTACTACTTTTAAACTTCAATGATTTACGCAGGTAGGGAAACTATTTAATAGTCCAGAACATTAACAAGTTAAAGGTAATTCTACAAGTTTCTATTTCAACCAAAAACCCATTCTATAGAGACCCTTATTTTTCCTGTGTACGGTTTAGTTGACCTGCTTGTCCGCAGCACTTACCCGGATAGGCCTGCGGCAGTGTTAGCCGGCACACGCCGTTCCGGTACTCGATGCAGTGTCTGCTGCCGGACTCCAAGAGGCCGCCGTTGTGCGTCCAGTTGACCTGCGGCTGCGGATGCGCCTGCACAATGCACTCGAAGCGCGCCGTTCCGCCCACGCCGACGGCGATGTCCTTCAGCGGCTGTCCGTCCGGCCATTTCCATTGAGCGAGCAGAGGGGCAGGGTGGATAGATTTACGGGTCTCAGTACACGTGGTTCATGGGTTAATGACTCGGGCTTACCGTTATGAATAATGGCTGCCTTTGTGCCAGCTCATCGCGACTCAGATGCGCATTGACGGGTTCCGTATTGGGCAGTTCCGGCACTGGAGTGTGGGAAACCATTATAATCTCTGGCTCAGCGTTTTCAAAGCGCATCCATTAGTGGGATTAGCACGGGGCAAGCACGAAACACAAACACTTAAAAGTCGTTTCACTTTAAATTTTAAACACGGAGAACGCAAGCAAGCATTTCATGCAAAAATCAAGACAGCGAGCTGGGTTTTTGTTTGGGTTAGCATGCTCTTCGACGAGGGTTACAACAAAAGGACCTGCTTATTTACACACTAAAACTACTGCCGATGACGTTTTGGGGGTTAATCACAAGGGCACAAAGACGCTATGGCTGCTATTCGACACAAAAGTTACAGCCTTGTTTTAGTTAGATTTTCATCTATGTTTTAAGTTTGTAACTTTTGTGAATATTTTTGAAAGCAAGCCACAGCGGTGATCACAACACAAACTTGTCCTAAGCTAATTGACAACATCGATAGCAATTGTGATAGCGTTAAGCCGATCTGATTGATGGCTTTCATTTGGTGACAGCCCTCCGATTTGTGAGTGCTTCAGTACCTGTGCGGATCATGTGATCCGGAGGCAGTCGGGGTGCCTGGGCATGGAGTCGATCCAGATGGATATCGAGGTTGTGGCAGCTGGGCAGACTGTAGCGCTTCTGGCTGCTGACAGTTCGCGGGGCCGACGGCTTGGTGGCCGACCAGTTCCTGGCCTGACTCCTCCGCTGCACCTCGTTGTCGGAACTGTAGCCCTGCGAGGATCTCTCGTGCTGGACTGGGATTACCAGCTCATTGCCGGGCGGCAGTTTCAGTGGGTACGGGGAGTGGCGTCCATTTTGGATCGGCTTCCCACTGCTGCTGCTATTGCCACTACTGTTCCATTGGCTACTGACGAACTTGTGACCCTCGCCGGGAAACAGGATGCCAAACTCATAGCCAAAATCGTATTTGAAATAGATTAAACCGGTATTGGGGTCGACGCACTTGGTTCCTGATTGCAGTTTACAGATAAACACATAAGACAAATGGGTTTTATTTGATAAATGGGGGAATTTGGCTTTATCGAAAGCTGATAAAAGCATTTTTATGGTAGAAAAAAATATGGGGATTCATGGATAAAAATGATACTCGTTGACCACTGAAGTTTGGATTTATGTACACATAAGTAACGCAAACTTAAAAGTAAACATATAAAATAATAAATATATATTCTTTGAGGAATAGCTGATATAAATATTTTCAAAAAATTAAAAATTTGTCGAATGAGTAAGATTAGTAAAGTTCATATTTGAACTATTTATAAATAAAACGTAAAGTTAAAATAAACGCAAAAATAAAATATAAGATAATCAAATAAATTTTTACAATCTAATAACATAAAAGAATAAACAACTCAAGATGATATCGGATTAGTTAGCAGTCCGGTATGTCCAACGAATGCAAATTTTTCAAACCAATTCAACCGAATTATCAATGTTCCAATTTCAAATCTCAAAATACCAATTCAAATGTTGGGGAGCTTGCTCCAAATCTCTACTGCGGCTTTGAGTCAGAAGATGCAAAGAAGAATGCAGACTTACCGTATTGGGAAACGCGAGATTCATCCCTGAAGGCCTGAGGTTGCTGGTTGCTGCCCTCGCTGGGAGCCCTCTTGAAGCCCGGGCGGATGCCATTCGATGCCGTGCTCCTCACATCCCGGCTAACGTCCTCGACGAACTGATGGGACTTCTGGAGGAAGGTGGAACCCATCCGGCGGCCCTGATTCTCGGCCTGCTGTTGGAGGGAACTGTATCCATATCGAGGCAAAGTGCCAACCCTGTCTATCTGATCCATGGACTGCTGCTGCTGTTGCTGTTGCTGCTGCTGTTGCCTCATGGTGGAGTTTCTGTTCAAGGACTGAGTGCGGTGTTGGGTGGTCACCGTACTGCCGCCGCGCTGTTCCTTCTTCAGGGTGTTGATGTCCACGTGGATTTTGCTGGGCATTTCGGGACCCCTATCGAACTCCATGGGGGACAGCACCCTTTCGTAGGTCCTTGGCAGACTGCAGGATCTTCCGGCTCCCTGCGGAGGGGCCACTCGGCGGAAGCCTTTGGTCAGACCATCGCCATACGGCGACCACAGGGGGTTGAATGCGAGCTCCCTCGATCTCACTCTCGTAATCGCTCTCCCGGAACTCCCCGGGGATGAATTTCGTGGGAGTGGCCGGCGGTGGCAACTGGGACTGCCGCGAAGGGGTACGACTTGTGGCCGGACTGTAGGGGAAGGGCTCCAGGATCTGCTGGTCCCTCTGCTCCTGCGGACCGTCAAAGTGAATCACCCGCTTGGTCTGCTGCATATTCACCACCCGCTGCGAACTCTCCGTGGACTCGTGCATTTGCATCACGTTCTTCGTTTCGGTGGCCACCTTGGCCAGGTGCATCGGAGCTCCAGCAACAGCATTGTAGTACATGGTCGGACGGGCAGTTGCCTGCGGTTGCTGTTGTTGCTGCGTGGCCGCTATGAACTTGGCCGCCACCGGCTTCGGCTTGAACACCGGCTGACTTTGCTGCTGTTGGTTCTGCGCGAACTTGGACTGCTTGGAGCTGCTCTCCGTCTTGATTTCGTGCCGGATCTCCCTGCCAATCGGCTCAAACTTGGGCCTGGCGTAGCTGCCCAGCTCCTGGGGAGTGGGCTCGAATTCCATGGGCGAGGGAGTGACGACCACCACGGGGGACTTGTGGCCATTGGTGGCTAGGTTTGTTCGGGGAGTGGGTGTGGGTGGGAACACCACTCGGTAACCCTTGATCTCGGCATCAGATTCGTTGGCTCGGGACACCGAGCGGAAGCGTTCGTCGATCTCGCTGCTGTAGTCACTGAACTCCGCTGCCGGGGTCTTTCGCTGGGCCGGAATCGGACTGGGATAGGTAACCACTGGTGGTGGTGCCGATGTCGAGGAGAACTTGGTCTCATGATGGCTGGAACTGCTGCTGCTCTGCATGTTGTGGGAGTAGTTGCTGGTCATACTCGAAGAGGTGTAATGCTTGTAGTCCTAAAGAGATAGAAATCATATTAGTAAGGACTTTACTTCGAAAGAAGAAAGACACTGAGGGTAATGTGAGTTAGCGAACGGGCTTTAATATCAGGCAAATGCGTAACTCGATTAGGTGATAGTTAGGTTTAAAATAGGGTAAATGAAACAGCAGTCAATTGAACGAACATGAAGTCTTAGCACTAGAGAGATCTTGATGATTTTTAAAGATCTTTGCTTGGTATTAAAAGGAAATGTAAAATGTAAATGATAACTAGGGATCTTAGTGATTAATCGGTGTGTATCTCGGGGTTGGGTGTTAGCTAGTTAGCTGGTAAGAACAACAACGACACAGAGGCAGTTTGCTGGTGTAATAAGAAGCTATCTTTGAGCTCCCTGTGCTAGCAACAACGACAACGACAATGAACGACAATAGTAACGACACACAGATAGACACAGAGAATGATCTAATGCGAACCTTCGCCTCCTGGCTGCTTAAATTCGATTGTGGTGGCACCTGGGTTTGCACCTGCGGTTGTGGCTTCGGCATAAAGTAAAGCCCTGCCGGTGGTTCAGGCTGCAGTTTCGGGAACTGCGATTGCGGAGGTCCGCCTCCCGTTGTGGATGAAGACTTGGTTTCGTAGAAGCTTGTCTCCGACTTTCGATAGCTCGAGTGCTCTTCTGTATCAGCTGCGTAGCCACTGGACTTGAAGGAAGTCTCCATCGTGGCCTGTTGTTGCTGATTGCGATTTCCAGGCTCCACATCCGATTCACTGCCACTGTACTTGTACCGATCACTCTCGTAGTCGCTTTCGTAGAGTCCCAAACGCGTGGGCAGAACAGGTGGTGGTGGTTTGTAAGTGGTGTTACCCAAGGGCTTCGTCTGAACAGGTGGTGCATTGGTTGGTATCAAAGTGGGCACCGAGTGGGGCAAGACCTTACTGGGTCCTTGGATCAAATTCTGTTCCAGCTTCTGCTCCATACTCTCGACCAACGAACGGCGACGGGTCTCCTCAACCTTGGGAGCAAAGCAAATCTCCGGTGGAGTTCCAGGTTCCAGTTCCACATTCACCAAGTGAGTTACAGAAGCGGTTGTTGGTGGGATGCTCTTCGCTATCTGGTTAACCAGGAAGGGTGCATTCAGCTCCTTGGTTGGCGTGGGCGTTGCCAGCTTTGAGATCACTGATTTCTCTGATTTCTGCTCCACATCACTGGAGTAACCGGTTACCCCAGCGGGTGTCCACAGTCGTGACATGGCCACTCCTTCGGCTGACGGCTTCGGCGAAGGGGAGCGTGGGTTCTGCTGGGCTGGAGTGGCCAGAACTGCTGCAGGTCGCACAATTGGTTGACCATACTCCACTTTTACTTCCTTGGTGGTTGTGGTTTCGTGTTGCACAGTTTGGAGACCCAGAGGTGGTGGAAATACGGGTACTCCGCCCTGTGGTGGTGGCTCCTTGGGCTGGACCTCCGAAAGTATCTTGATCTTCTCGGTGATTAGTGGTACCTTGGGTTCGGTTCTCTCGACTTTCGGCGAGTAACAGAACTCCGGAGCATCTCCTGGTATCAAGTTGAGACTCCTCAGCTCCTCCGCCAGAGATTGCGCCTTTGGCTGCCGCACCACAGTCTCCAGTGGCTTGAAGGCCAGTGGCTTGGGTCTTTGCGTCACGGTCTCCTCATCGATCTTCTTGAAGTAGTCAAAGGAGGAAGACGAAGTGGTGGACTTGTGCTCGCTCTGCTCGTATCTGGTGGTGGTCAACGTCTGCGGTGGTTGCTGCTGCTGCTGGCCGAAAGTGGTGGCCACCACTGGCGTACAGGGCTTTGGTGGCACGGGCGGCGGGACTTTGGTGGTGGTTGTGGTGGCTTGTGTCTGATCTGGCTGATCCATGCTTGAAGTGGCAGTGTTCGTGGTGATAGTGATTGTGTCGTTTGTGGTCGGTGTCTTGGGACGCGAAGTTAACTCCGGCAGATCCAGATAGTTCGATTTGTGCTCTAGACGCATGGTTGCCTCGGTGGTGCAACGATGCTCAGTGATCACTTTCGACTCGGACAAACCGTGGAGATCATTGGCACTGGTGACATCGGTCTGACTGCTCTGGTACGACTGTTGAGTTTCGCTGTTCTGGTTTTGATTCTGCACCTGAATCGGTTTCAGTTTGTTTGTTTGTTTGTTTTTGTTTTTGTGTGATGATGAAGTGTTCGGAAAACCCATGGAATGAGCAAAGCGAAACGAAAGAACGAACGACGTTGACATCATGAGAGGAGAAAATTCACAAAAGTTTGGTTTATTATATTGATCGATATTAAAGTAAGTTAACAGAGTCGAAAAGAAGAGATAGAGTAGATCGGAGTAAATTGAAAGAGTTTCAGGTGATCGTGGAGGATAATGCATAGTAGTCGGTAGTTAGATATTGAGCACATGCACACTTACTTCGGTTTTGAATTCGCTGGCTGGCGCCACTGGCCCGGTCTCATACACGATGGTCTTGACCACTTCCTGCATGCGTTCCGGCGAAGGCTCCAGGATGGCGCAGTCTGCAATGCTCTTGGCCTCACCTCCTGCATTCGTGGCACGCACCATGTACTTGCCGGAGTCCGAAGTTTGAGCTAAAAAAATTAAAGAAAAATATATATTATACAAAGTTAACCATTAAAAGAACTACTAACGCTTCAATTTTATTGCTATTCGGTGCTTTAGTCATTTTATAAAATCATATACTGCCTTGATGCACAGGCTTACAATTAACAAAAAATAAAATAGGCAATAAAAGCTTATATAAACATGTTTTAAAATCCAAATAGATGTTTGCAAAAACATTTTTAGTGTTGATGCTCGATAAGTTAAACATTCAAAAAATGTGGGTTAAATAAACAATTAGCTGTTTTTTGCCAAAAATGTTTTGGCATTTGGCTGTCATTTCCTTTCGATTTCGCTATTTTCGAATGAAAATTCGAAAGCAAACATTCAAAAGGTTGAAATGTGGATATTGGACTGGAACTCTTAGTTACCTTTCTCGATTATCAGCCTGTAGGAGTTGCCTTGGGCCAGCAGGCGATGCTGTGAGATGCCGGCATCCTTCAGCGGCTTGTCGTCCTTCAACCAGGTGACCGTGGGCTCTGGCAATCCTGTGACCTCCACCTCCATGGTCAGCTTCTCGCCCTTCTTGCTGACTTGCGCCTGCAGACGTCGGCCGAATACAGGCGGGAATATGGTCTCTGAATTCGGGGAAAAAAACATTGAACATTGAGCATCAACATATGCGAACAAAGAATTTGTTCTTTTTGTGCCATTGCAACAGATTTGCTGCTGAATAATTTACTCGAACAGCCGTCCGAATAATCGACCATAATGAATAATTCGTTTGGACAGCCGACAGGCAGTAAAAATAATTTCAAGCATACATTGCAGGCAGCGACAAATCTGCAAGCAGCCCGAGTAAATAAACGATCTCTGTCTTCAACGCGATTTACATAATAATAATTGCCGACATTATCCCATAGCCCCAACCCCAATCCGCAACCATATCCACATCCCGTTGAACCACCACCCCCACGGCTGCCAGAAAATATTTATAAATTTGTGTAAGAAAATCTTTTGCATTGGCCAAGATTTTCCCTCACCCGGGCACCAGCCAACAGAAAAGATTGAAATATAAACAAAAACAATACAGCTGAGAATCATCCTCCAACCCCGTCGACCACTAAAAACTCATCAATATTCTGTGGGAGCAGTCGAGCGGCATTCGAGGCATTGACGTTTGAAGATCTATTGATGGTCCCCTTGTTCCCCGACAATGACACTTTAATGCTCTCCGCTGATTGATGTGGACAGGGCGAACGCCAACATATGATATAGGGCCTATCGCAGGGAACATGTGTCTGTGGTTTTTTAGATTTGTGAACACTTTTCGCCAGCTTTTTTAGCTCATTTAATTCTGTGGAAATTGATTTCATTAAAAAAACTAGCCGGTGTGGCGGTAATTGGATAGGTTGAATTAGGTCGCGGATAAACTAGCATTGGGTGCCATTAACCAAATAACATTTCCGATTTGTTTAGCATTTTATGTGTTTCCTAAGAAAATTTCCTATAATTCCCCTAAATACATGAACCAATCTTTTGATAAATAAAACGAGATCTTGTGACATGAAAAAACGGTAGTGATGTTTGGAGAAGCCAGCATTCCAATTCATTCTATAAATATTTTCTACGCCAAAGAAATATTTTTAAAATATGTATATTTATTTTTATTACTCACTTTTAACTACCAAATCCGCTGTGCTGGTGGACTGACCCACCGCATTGGAGGCGGTCACCGCATATCGTCCCGCATCAGCCACTCCCACCTGCTTGAGTTCGATGGTCACGCGATTGCACTTGTTTGAGATCTTGGTGTGGGCATCGTCGAATAGTTGGCCTCCGTTCTTCTCAACCTTAATCTCGGGAGAGGGAAAGCCATCGTAAATGGCCTCCATGCTGACATCGGTTCCCTGGTCCACGATCTTTCCGCTGAGCGGAGTGGTGAACCTCGGAGCTATTTCCCTCCTGAGGCGAGTGGGTGAATCAGGTATGGCTACAGCGGACTGGCCATTGGGAGCACTGGATTGGATAAAGCTGAAGGACTTTTGCTGCACGCTCGGACTGCTCATCTCCTTGCTTTTGTGCGACTCCTGGTAATGATGGCTCTCCACAATCTCGGGTCTTTGTTGGCCAAGTTGCTTCAGAGATTGGTCAATGTGAGCGGAGGAATGATGAACCTCGGTTTGCGGAGCATTTCCCTCGTAGGAATTAACCTGCGAGGTGGAGGTGGTGGTGAAGGTTTGCTTCTTGATCGTGACCCTCGAAGATTCCGTGTTGTGTTCCTGGCTCGTTGTCTGAACATCAACGGAGGCGGGCAAACCACTTCCCCGAATATTCAAAAAGGCCACACAGGTCGCCTTCCCCGCTTCGTTTTCAGCCACGCAACTGATTTTGCCGACGGCATCGTGGGTTAATTTCTGGATGGTTAACACCTGACGCTCTCCACTTGTGGAGACCAGAAAATTGTGACCATGAACGGGTTGGTCGTTGAAGAACCAATGAACCTTCGGTGTGGGCTTGCCCTTGACAATGCACTCGAACTTGATCACCTCGTCGATTTCACCTTGTTTGTCACTGAACAGTTCTTTGAACTCGGGACACTGGTGACGGTCAACAATTTCAACCGAAGACTGGCTACCTCTGCGGTTTTCAGGAGCGTTTACCGATTTAACTATAAGATGTGAAAAGCACTTGGCATCTCCTGCGGGATTGGTAACCTTGACGGTATATACTCCCTTGTCGTCGCCACTCACATTGTTCAGGATGAGCTTGAAGACGCCCAGTTCGGAGTCCGATTGGGTAGTAATCCTCTGATCCAACTGGAGCTCCTTGTTGGTCAGGAACCACTGGGCTGTCAGGGGTTGATCGCCACTGGCCTGCACTTCAAGGATTACCTGCTCGCCTTCATCGGCCAAAACGTCGGAGAGAAGTCTCTCAAACTTGGGCTGCGAATCCTTTGGCAGGGATTGCCTTTCCGCCTGAGCTCGAGTGGCAGGTTCCGCTTGGTTCAAAGGGGGTGACCTTCAGTTCGCAACTGCTAGAAGCTTCACCCGCCGAGTTTATGGCTACCACTTTGTAGTGGCCAGCGTCCTCTTGGTAGACCTCCTGGATTATTAGGGAGCACCTATCCCCTTGGAAAAGCAGCTGAACATCGGCGGACTCCTTCACGGGTCGCTCATTGTGATACCAGATGACCTCGGGCTCCGGTTGACCCACAATCACGCAGTCCAGCCTCACTGGCTTGCCCTCGAATATGGAGACGTCCTTCAGGGGCAGATGAACGGCCGGCTTGATCGGCTCTATGTCACTGGCCATTTCAGAATCGGAGGTTTCGTTGGGCAGACGACCCTTGACTATCACGTTGCAACTTGAATAGGCCTCGCCAGCTAGGTTCTTGGCGCTCAGGACGTAGGATCCGGCGTCGTTGGGATAAGCTTGCGGGATTATCAGCGTTACGCGGCCGTATTCGTACTGAAAGTACAGAGAAAAGCACGGAAAATCAAGTCAGTTCGGGATTCGGTATTCACCACACCCCACGAAATATGGTGGATTTTGAATGCTTTCGGCTCGTTCTAGTTTTGTGCTTTTTTTTTGCAATTAAATTTTCCTTCTTTTTTACACCGATTTAAATCTTATTTACGAGTGTCTGTGCCTGTGTGCGCGGATGAGGCACATCCGGCGGCCTGTGGGGGCAGACACGAGCACTTTGTTTATTTTCCCACAACAAACGATCTTTGTTTTGCCCCAAATTGCAGGAAGCACCTGAGTTCAGGTGTTCAACGGTTCAATGGAGACAATCAAAGATTTGTTCGTATAATTGGAATTGTTCTCAATTCATCAAATGAAAGTGAGATCATGTTTGGTCAAACAAGCGACGACGGCGGCAGCAATTAAAAGTGCGGCCAATGAAATCATTTCTTAATTTCAATTTTCTTTTGCTTTTTTTTTGGTTTTTTTGCCATATGAAAATGAAAATCTGCAAATATATAGATGTGCGCATATTTGTATTCACAATGTTGGCGCCCACAATAAACAAATTGCCTGGCCTGACTGTGGTGAATTGGATTTATCTCGCTCGCATGGCTCGTTGCACGGAGGAGCTGCCAAAAATGCAGCTATTAGACAATATATGGCGACTATATGCTGGCCAAACTTATGCAGCGCACTATCTGGCCGTAAAGTGCGTTGGCGTATTTTCAAAACGATCGCCTTGAATTCTGTTTGACCAACGATCATCTTTGGCGGGGAAAAAAACGGATGCGTGACTGACGTCAGACAGATTATTTCTTACCGAATTTTGGAACTACGAATATGTAGAGTCCAAACCGCACATGCAACGCCCACCGCAAAAAGTATAGAATTCTCTCTGATTTTTCCAGCCAAAGACTTTTATGTGGTACATACAAAGTCTATGTGTATATGGAAATGGTCAATCGCCAGACAGTTGGGGGAATTGTACTAGGTGGTATGCCTTTCAATTTGTTTACTCTGATTGAAAAAGCACTCGGGAGAAAGTCGGCGGAAATCTTTGGGGATTTCCTTTCATAACCATACAGATTTTAGTACATTAAATTCTATAGTTTGTTTCGAGTAGAAGTATGGGGAATACATTTTATAAAAAAAACGTATTCATATCTAGAGCACATAAGCGAATTCCCATATTTTAAATTAATCAATTTCTTCGAAAAAGTCGGATTGTCTGGTAAATGGTAAATGGCGAATTAAAACCATATGTCAACACTTTGTCATCTCATTATAATTTATGCCTTCCAAAAGTAGACAAAAAGTGGCCTGACTTTTTAAGACAATAACCTAGAGAAAATAATTTCCAGAAATAAATTCTCTAAATTACGATCTATCAGAAATAAGTATTTACTGAGAGTCAATAATTAACGAGACTGTTACCCCTCCATTTTAGCAGCCATTGAACTCACCTTGGCATCGCGCGGCTGGAAGGGTTTTCCGTTGTGTATCCAATAGACTTCTGGCCTGGGAATTCCACCCACGATGGCTTCCAGTTTGATCTTTTGACCGACTCGAGCCATGGCATTCGATAGGGGAACCTTGAAGCTGGGTAACTCAGTTGGCTCCAGAGCTAAAAGGGTAAAAAAATAAAAGAAATTAAATATGGAATTGGGTTTTTAAAACTCAAAAAGGAGCAAGTAGGAAAATGTGTTTCACTTACGCTCCACTATCAGAGAAGCTGAACAATGTTCAATTCCCGCCGGATTCGAGGCGCTGCAGGTGTACACAGCATCGTCCTCCAGGAAGACCTCCTCGAACTTCAGAGTGGCCTCCCCGTTGTTGTAGCTAATCACGTAATCAGGAGAATCGTCGATGCACTTGTCATTCTTGAACCACTGAACGGTTGGTAGGGGAACTCCAGCCACCACACAAGCGAACTGGAAGGAGCTGCCCTCGGTGGCCTTGCCGCTTTCCAAGAAACGAAGGATCCTTGGCGGGACCAATTGAACCTCGGTGGCGTTTTCCCTTACGGATAAAGTGGCGTTCGTGTCGCAAGTACCCACCAGATTGGAAGCACGACAGCTGAAACGCGCCGAATCGGCTGCAAAGGTTTCCTCAATCACAAGTCTGCAGATTCCCTTATCGAAGGTGGTTTTGTAATCAGAATTATTCTGAATACTGATGCCATCTTTGAACCATTCCACAGCGGGTTCCGGAGTTCCCGTGACCTCGCATTCGAACACAAAGCGGTCTCCTTCGCGGGTCACAGCATCCTTCAAAGGACGAATAAAGAGTGGAGAGGCGTAGCGCAGCTCCGTGAAAATAGAGTTGACCTGGATGTCCTTTCGGATGTTTTCGGTCACTGTTCGCTGCTGATCCACCTGATCGCGAAGGGTTTGCAGTCTGGTGATCTCCTCACGCTGAATCCGAGCCTCCTCCTCCCGTTTTGAACGGGATTCGTTCTCCCTGCGGACTCTTTCCTCCTCCTCGCGACGGATTCTCGACTCCTCGTCTCGCTTGTTCTGGAGACGCACTTCTTCCTCCCTCCTGGCGATCTCCCTGAGGGATTGGATACGCAGCTCCTCCTCCCTGGCAGCCTGTTCCCTGGCCAATTGCTCTCGCGAGGCCTGCTCCCGAATGGCCTGCAACCTGGCCTCCTCTTCCCGGACAGCCTGCTCCCTCAAAGCCAACTCCCTGGCTGCCAAATCCCTTTGAGCCTGTTCGATGGCCGCCTGTTGTCGTTGATTCTCCAAGCGGGACTGCTCCTCCCTGAACAACCTTTCCTTGGCCTCCGCTTCCTTGATGGCCTTCTCCCTTTCGGCCTGATCGCGGGCATCCCTTTCCCTCTGCTCCTTTTGGCGCTGCTCCTGCTTGAGCCTCTCCTGCACCACATTGATGTCCATTTTGAGCTTGATGAAGGACTGGAAGATGTTCATCACGTCGTTGTACAAAGACGAGACCTTGTTCATGTCGTGGGCACATTGCGAGGCACTGTCCAATTTGGATCGAAGGGCAGCTTCCCGACTGGTCACATAGTTTTCGATGTCGTTGACCAAATTGCCGGCCTCCACGGAATCACGGAGGTAAGGAACCTTGTTGGAGACGCTGGTGTAGAAGTAGCTAATCTCACGGTACTCTGCGTCGATCTGGATAATAATTAAAAATGTTAAAAAGTTTTGAAATATTTTTAGATTTAATTTAATATATTCTTAGATTTTCACTTAGCTAATAAAAGCTTGACAAATCTTTAATCTATTTTCACTTGTTTATGTAAAAATATATATGTATTAAATCATAAACAAAATCGTAAAACTGTTTTGAATGAAAAACCAAGTGTGCGAGACACTTAACAATTATTTACGGTCCCTCCTTAAGTATAATTTATGGCCATTTAATTACCCACCTTCTCGACCACCTCGAAGAACTCGGTTGCCTGGTTGAGGCTCTTTCGTTTCTGCTTCACCTGATCCTTGAAGCTCTGCCATTTGTCGTTGAGTTTGCGCAGTTCGTCCTTCACGTACCGCTCGCTCTCGGGATTTGTGATTAGGAGCTGTTGGCTGGTGGACTCCGTAAACTTCTCGATCCGCTTCTCGAGCAGCTATTTGTGTGGGAGGGAAAAGTGGGGAGACAATCTTTAGCGTCAGCCAAAAATATACATATATCACCAGCGAATTAACCCATTAGGCAGCAACTAAAACGCAGTGTGTCTAGGCAGATTGCAGCCAAGCGAGAATATATTCTTTTACACAGAACAAAATGTTTGATGTAAGGGAACGGTCTTAAAAATAATTCTTTTTGATGAAGATGAAGTCATACTTTCACACGTCTTTATAATTGAAAAACATTCTATGGGGTCTAAAAATGCTTTTTGGAAAAGTATATAACATATTTTTGTGCAATGTTTTTTGTACTTTTTTTCTTCGTGCATCATCATTTCCCCTAGTCGCTCGTTGGCTTAGCTGGTCATAAAAATCGGAACGCCAGAAGCAATTTATAACAGCAAATGCCCAACGGCAAATAGAAGTGCATTAAAAAGTGGTCTGAATGTGTTCTGTTTCGGCTTCTTGTTGGCCTGCTGTATCTGTATCCGAATCTCTGAGTTGTATTTCATGTATTTGGCCCAGAGTTTTTAATTACAAACTAACGACAGCTGCCGCTGTCTGTCTAAAGCCCATCGCCCGCCGCTGACAGCGACAACATTTTGAAAGTTGCGATATTTTCGAAATGTCATCCCGGCAGTGCGTCGTTTCCCATTTGGAAATTTGATGAATGTGGAGGGGCTGCCAGTTGGTGACCACCCAAAAGGGTAAGCAAAAGGGAAGTGATGCAAAAGTGCGGCACACAACTCTGATCGCATGCAGGGATCGATCTGGTATCTGGTCTCTATATCTACAGCTATATATCCAACACTGTGGCTACCTCGATTGTGTGGGCTGTTTGGCCCCAGCGTCGCTGATGGCGCGTTGATTTCAATTGCCTGGGCATTGAACACTAGAATTGGATTAGATCATTCAATAATTTTAAACCCATCAAAATTCGACTCAAAATCTATCACGGATCTGTTCAGCGTCGTGTGGTGTCTTCATTAAAGAAAATACGCAAATATGCGTACATATTCAAATTAATTGTAAATACTGTTTTAATAATGCTTCGTAGGAACTATTTTTATTTTCTCATGGAAAATAAGAAAATTTAAAATCATTAATGAAAGAAATTTAAGAAACTCTGCTAAAGTTTTACCAAGAAAATAAAGAAGACATTTCGGCTACTTCATATATATTCATATAAATTGAACTGAATTGCTTTTTCGGTTCACCAATATTCTAACCTTTGTTCTGGAAACTAGCGAATAGATTCGACAGTTCACAGATTCCCTGCACTTCATCACTTTGTGGCAAAGTGTTTATCCAACGGCATAAATAGTTTCTTGGTCTCGCCCGATCTCACCGGTCCTAACCCACCTCAATAAGCCGATCGGCGGGAGTTCACTCACCTCTATGGTCCGTTCAAAATACTCGAACGCCAGCGACGTGGTCTTGGCCGCCGCCAAACTGTCGACGCTCTGGTTGTTGATCTCGTGCAACTGCTGGCTGACACTGTCCAGGCTGCGATCGATGTCCTCGAGATCGGAGCGGAACTGCTCGATCTTCTCCAGGCGCTCCAGACTCGACATGCGGGCACTGCTGTTCGACTCGAAGTGGAGGCGCAGGTTCTCGATCAGCTTCAGAATGCGATCGGTGTCGATTTCGCGGGCTCCCGGCGGCTCCAGAACGCGCACCCGATCGATCAGCAGTTCGGATTGTGTGATTAGCGATCTAAATTTATCCATGCACTGCTCGCGGAATTTCTCGTGCTCCGCGATGCTGCGATCCGCGCCGGAAGCGGGCTCCTTCTGCTGCCTGGCGAAGTAGTCGTCGATCTCGCGGCGCAGCTGCACTGTGTTCTCCAGGAACTGCAGCACGCTCTCCACCAGAGTGCGGTAGTCGTACTTGATGCCGTCTAGCTTGGCCTTCAGCATGCGCAGGTTGTTGATCACCTGCTCGATCTTGGCCAGCGACGGCTGGTCCTTCGTCTGGATGCTGAGCGTCGTCTGGATGCGCTGCTGGATCTCATCCTGCGCCCTCTCGATGTCCTGGGTCACGTTCGTGAGCTTCTCGCGGGTGCTGACCAGCAGCTGCTTGGAGTCCACGCTCTGGGAGGTGAAAACGGGGTACAGCTGGGTGTCCACCTGGGTGCTCTTCGCCACGGTCTGAAATTTGGGGGAAATTGCTTTTGAGTACTTCTCAGAAGTATTTGCTAATTAATTTAGATCTGAAAACATTCAAGGGGAGGCCATCCACTCGTTATAAATCATGCAAAATCTAATTATTACACATCTGTACTTGAAATCTTCTCCAAATGCATTTCAAAGGAACTTCTTTTGGGTAATGCGAAAAACTAAAAGTGTATTCCCAATATAAAAACCCGACTAGACGGTAGGGATCCCCGAACTCACCTCCTCGTTGTCACTCATGACTTTCTCAAGCAAATACTCGACTTCGCGCTTCTCCGCAATGCTCGTTGTCCAATTCTCCAAACTGCTCGTCACGTCGACCTGCCGCTTACTGAAGTCGTTCAGCGCCTCTTGCACCGCCTGTGCCGAGGATTTGGTCTCGAGATATGGATCCACAATCTGCGCGGCGCGTCGTTAAAAATAGCATGGAAATAGATGGTTTTTATTTTTATTTCTGTTTGATTTTTGGTCGTGTTTTGTGTTATTTGTTTTTTCTAGTGTGTTTTTGTCGCGAGCGCAAGTTCTTCTCTGAGTTCTTCGCCGAGAGGGCGAAAGGGAATTTTCCGAGAAAAGGCGGCGCGTGGCACGCTTGCGACTGCGGCCAGGGTCTCCTGGCTTCTGCCACTCGAGTCCAGGCCAGATCCAACCGAGCCGACCGGCAGCCACATACGAGTACAACCTATCTATAGCCCGGCAGCGCAAATTGCTTTCTTTATTTATGGACTCGACTCGACTCGAGCCAACAACTCTCGACGCACAAAACTCGCAGCAGAATCTCCGCGAAGAGCGAAATTTCTAATTTCAAAAATTTCTTTTGCGGCTGCCGGGTCGCTTCTTCCCGGTTTTATGCGCACGTATGGCGAAATGGCGTTGTCGTTTCGAATACATGTTTATGGCCAGCCAAATCATATTGTTTATAATTTATGGGCCCAGAGCGAGCTGCGAAAAGTTGTGGAAGCTGGGAGTTGCAAACGGAAATACCCTTGCGGATGTCACAACTAATTATTTGAAACAAAAACAATTATAAAACTGCTACCAAACAGTTGGGGTTCATATGTTAAGTTTATGTAGCTAATAGCTATACAAATATTAAATGCTTCAATTGTAAATTAGTGAAACGAAAAACATAAGTTTTTTTAAATTGCATATCCTAGACATCCCATAGCTAGAATGCCCCAACTTCTTAAACTTTCGCGATTGTTTGTGCAGCGTCAGCAAGCTGCTTCTTCGAGCTGATGGACAGCGTGCAAATGCGCCAGCTGTCAGCAGTTAGTTGTTCCAAAAGCAAAGTTTGCGGGCATAGATGAAGCATAAACAAAGTGCAGCATGCATAACCAAACAGCGCCGCCCTGACATTAGAGAATTCCGCCAAACTTAGATTAAATAACTTAGGAGACTGGCAGGAAGTGGTATACCCCTAACCCGATACAGACTTTTAAGTTGATGAATCGCTGTCCCCGGGACTTCAGTTCGCCGAAAGTGGCTGCGATGCCCGTCCAAGTTGCCTTGAGGAATTGCAACTTGTGCTCGTCGGGGGTTTGTTGCAGTTGCCGTTGCAGGTTGTCCAGTTGGCTGGAGAGTTCGTTGGCCAGCTCAAAGAAGTCAATCAGCAGGGACACGTAGTCCACTCGCTTCAGAACCAGATCCTTCAGCTCGATCCAGTGCTTGTGCAGCGATTCGGCCTTTGAGTCCACGTCGTAGCGCTGCTGCGGACTCAGCGATTCCAGGTGCATCTTGATGGACTCCAGCAGCAGGTTGATCAGCTCGCCTTTTATCTGTTGGTAAAATGAAGGAATTAATATTAGTTGTTGTACTTCTAGTAGTTAATCTCTGATTGATAACTCGCCTCTAGATCCTGCATAAGTTCGTGGTGCTGGAGAAGGAACTGCTTGGCCTGCTGCAGATTCCGGCCCATGTCCACGCTCTGCTGCAATTGCTGCTGGCCGGAGGCTCTTAGCCAGGCCAGAAGCTCATTGTGATGGGTAAGGAATTCGCTCAGAGCCCGTTGAACCTTCTGCTGATCCTCGCTGCTGTTGGCACAGATCCCCTGGATGTAGACTTTGCGGTTCTCCAGCTCATCCAGGACCCTCTTCACTCCCTGGGTCTCCTGCTGCGTTCTTCCCACTTCGTCGAGGATGCCGTAACCCAGCCGCAATGGTTCCTCGGTGAAGTTGCGAACATCTCGATCTACCTTTGAGAACATCGCGTAGCTCTCCGGGGAATGAGGAGGTAGTTTCACGCTGGCCAGCTCGAGTTCCAGTTTCTCCAGGACGCTCAAAGTGTGCTCGGCCTTGGCGAAGAACTCCCGCGATTGGTGGAGCCAGTGCTCCCGCTGATCCACCAGGTCCAGGTGCTCCGTGCAGCCACTCAAAACAGCATAGGCACGAGCACAGGCTTCGTCTTCTGTGAAATGGCCAGCGGACTGCACCTTCTCCTTGGCTCGCGTGATCTTCAGAGCTCGATCTCGGAGCAGAAGAGCCTGCTGCTTCCACTCCCGGTACTTGGTGAGCATTTCGTTGGCCGTGTGCTCGCATTCTCCCAGGCTGTACATGGTGTTCAGCTCCATCCTGGCCTGCTGCAGAGCCGCCTCCAGATCGACCAGCTCCCTGCCCAACAGAGCCAATGCCAGGCACTGTTCCATTTGGGTTTTCCTCGCCTGCCAGGCAAGTTCCAACGAGTTTCTTCTATCGTGGAGGGCCTCCAACCACTGCTGGACTTGGTGAACCGCCCTCGTAGCGTCCCGTTTGATGTGCTCCGGCCTTGTGTCCAGGGTCTCCAGCTTCTCCAGCTCCTCCAGCTGGGCCAGCAGCTCGTTTCCATCCTTCAGAGCGGCCATCACGCCGGTCAGCATGTCGATCCTCAGTTGCTTGAATCTGTTGAGGAACTCCTGAACTCGTGGCACATCCGGCGGATGGAGGGTCTCCTCGCAGGCCAGCTCCAGCTGGTCCATCTTCCTGAAGCACTGTGTCATCTTGTCGTGGAACTGGGTGCACAAGATCAACAGGTGCTGGCGGTCCTGCAGGAGGTTCAGGATGTCCTGCCAGATGATATTGAGTGTATCGGCCATCGCGTTGACCAGTTCCGAACTGATCCGCTTGCTCGCCAGCAGTTTGTCTGCCTTCTGGACGAACTCGTCCATGGGACCCGGCAGGCTCTAAAAGGATTTTTTAGATGGTCAGAACACAGTGGAATTTTGATTTATAGAACCAACTTACCTGTAAATTGCGGAGAGTCTCATCGTGCTCCCTTTGCATGCGCACCGATTCGTCGAGATTTTCGCCCAGTGCTGTGATCTTGGGCTCTAGTTCTACCACTTTGATGTAGATTTTCTCCGGACTCTGAAAGGTTATGGTATTTATTAAAAGATGATAAATGATAAGGTGCTTGAATGATGAATGATACTAAAGGGTTAAAATATTTCAGATATTAATAAATAATGTTCCAATTTCTAAGTTTTACGGTTTCCCTTTTTCCAACTATATTTTCTGAATTTGGTTATATTTATTTTAACATAGTTTACTTTTATTCCGATTCCACAGTAAAAGTAGACCAAAACAGCTTACCAATCGCATTACTCGAAAACTAATTCCCATCTAAGAAGTATCATAAACGCAATACTACCTCACAATTCTAGATCACCCACATTCCGATTGGTTATTTTCACATTTCCCAGGGACTTCGCATAGGACACGAGCTATTCGAAAAGTTTCTCCCACAAGGGTTCGTGGCATTCCGAGGCCAGTCCCCCGAATCCGTTCCAGTCACGTTCCTGGGCTCCCAGCAGCCGGCTGCATTCCCATTCATGCGACTCGCAGTTGACATCGGGCCAGGAGACGTGCGATGATCTCGTGCAGCGAGGGAAAACCTGCTCTGGAGCCACAGCAAGCTGCACCGCAGCAGAAGCAGCGGAGTCAGCTTCTAATTTTGGTAGCACCACCAGAAGCTGCCTCCGAAGCAGCAGTAGCAGAAGTGGCACCACAACCTCAGCTCTGTTTGATTGCAATGAAGGTCAGCATCGGCTGTTTATGGTAATGGCATCCGTTAGTTTTTCCTGTTGGGATGAGCATGTGTCGATGGAGCCGGGGAAAAGTGCCACATGCCACGGCGAACCATGGAGAACTCGGGCTAGTGATGCTACCCAAACTGCTTCTGCTTCTGCTTCTGCGCGTTTGCTTCTGGTAGCTTTAATGTCCAGGGAAAGCTGCGTAGGCGTTAATTTGTTCAACGAAAATGTTTTGGGCACTCTACAGTCAAAACTGTGTAAATGCCACCGCCCAAGCCCTTGGCTTTCCCGAAGAAATTCAACCGAACAAGGTTGAAAACTGGTTCTCGCTCGAGTATCCACTGTAGATTTCCAATTTAGTCGCTTCAAGGGTTTCGAGCTTGATCTGCGACTGCCATTAATCAATTACAATACAAATTAATAACCCGGCTATTAAATTAAATTGTGTGCCCCACTGGCAGCGATGTAAAGCGATAACGAAACCAGTCGAAGTCACTGACTCAATGCGACGTGAGTGAGTTTTCAATATGCACACCAATAATTCTCGAAAATCTGAATAAATTTCGAAGTGTAACGGGCGGCTGGCAGGCAGGGAGAGGGGCATAATCACGTCGTCTAACTGAAATATGAACCATATACGGCATGACATCACTATGAACAGGCCGACCATAACTAAGCTTATGTTCGTATAAAGCATAAAATAAACCATTATGCATATGGCCGGGCGCCCGAGTTTTTCCCCTTCCAACATACGTCACTCATTGCGAAATTGAATCGTATTTCAAGAGTCGCACAAGCACGCACCGAGCCGTTAAGATTCGTAATATGCATTTGGACATTTAGAAGCGTCTCCGGTCGGCACTTGTGCAGGTCCGAATGGCGGAAGTACTCAAAGATCGTGGCCAAGTGGGAGTGGGAGGATTCCAGTTCGCCGTGCCCCGTCCAAAGAGCCGGCGATGATAAATTGCCAAAAGACCTAGCGGCAGTTCAAAAAAAATAACACCCAGGAAAGGAATTCGTAAACAGGAAGATGAATATCGGAATACTCTGGATGTTAGGTTTTGAAAAGGATGGGAAAGGTTTAAAAAAACATACTTCAGTTGAATTATTTGATTTAATATATTTACTTCAAGTTAAAATGTAGTTTTTTGGCTCACTATAAAGCAAGCCACTAGAAACTCCACAAAATCTACGATAATAAGTGGTATAAAAACCGACCTAAGTAAAAGTAAAAATTCACACTATTTAGGAACTCAAAACCCACCGCTTGAGGGTACGTCATTTTAAAGCCATTCTAAAGTTCTTACCAAGCCGAATGGACCGATTCAGGGTACTAAGACTCCACTTTGAGGCGCTTAGCGTGAAACACGTTTTCGGCTTTTAAATTAATACTTTGCGGCAGTGGATAGAACACGATTTCGATATGAAATTACCTCGATGCTGTAGCTTTTGTTGCTGCTCTTATCGTTTTGTGTGAAATCATTGCGCATTTTTATAGAACGCCGGCCTGGCCTGCTCTTTCATTACGACCATTGGCTACGTAATCCCGAATACCTATCGTCGATTTAATTGGGAATAGCAATTTGCGGAGGCGTTGGCTTGTTTTACCTGATTTAATTTACCAGGTGGCGATATAAACGGGTTGTTATAGCATACTTTTCAAGGAAAATCACATAAGAATGGAGGCGATACCTTAACAATTTGCTTGAGAACTGGATGACTTCATTCAGGGATGCCTACTACATCATTTCGAAAATAGTAAAACATCTAAGAAATGAAGAATATCAAAGCCAGACACTTAAATTGTTTTTTAAACATCATTACCCATAAAATTTATATTGCGCTGCACAATTTCGTTATAATTTCCTTTAAAACCTCAACATGCAGCAAATATGAATGAAAATATAAATATGTTTATTTTTCCCAAAAAAAGTTCAGTAGCCAGCCTTGACCTAAAACCCAATGCCGCTCATCTGCCCATTAATATGCAATTTGGGTAGATTTTCATATCACATGTTTCTCTTTTTGCTACATTTTCAATTTGTAGCTGTGCGAGTGCTCCAATAAAGGTGAGCTAATTGAATACAAATTGAAATTGGCTAATTAAAGCGACATAAATCAGATGTGCATGTGTGTGTTTTGGTCCTGATCAAACATAGGCCACGGAGCCATAAAAAATGTACATAAACATACTAATAAAAAACCGCATTAGGTTCGTGTGTGTGAGCGGTTTGATAGAGAGCAAACAGCATTAATGTATTGTACAAATACCCGTATGCAAATGAATTTACTGAATTTACTTTGCGCGTATTGTTGCTGTTTTTGTGGATAGCACGCTCTGACGCGTTTGTGCCTCCATTAAACTTAACTTGATTTTGTCATAAAACAAAACAGCAAAACGTATTCTGTATTCTGTATTTTGTTATTGTTCATTTAGCAGAGGTTCAGCTTTTGCCTCGATCATCATCGGTGTGCTCGAGTGATGTCAGACTTTTGGGTTCTATAAATACCGCCGAACATAAAACAATTTCTGTTCAGGTTTTTTGTAGGTCGCACTTTCCCAGGCCGACGGCAAATTATGAGTACACGTATTGGGCAATCTTGTTGCTGCCATCGAATGCAATTTAAATTTCAATTTAATTCGCAGCCAGCTAAAAAGATAATTTCTATAATTGTTTCTACAAATTGTTGGCCACGACTCGTGGCATCTCCCATCTGCAACATCTGCAGCAGCAGCAGCATCAGTTGCTGTTGTTGCTGTTGGTGTTGCTTTTGGCCGGTTGCCGTTGCCGTTGCAGTTGCAGCAGCAACATCAGCAGGAGTCGCCTGCAATGCGCGACTTTCATTGAACGTTTATCGGCGACTATCAGTTGCCATGTAAACATGCAATATATTTCGCGTCTCTAACTCGAAAACCGCCGAGCCGTCGCTTCCACTCCGGTAATTACAGCAGCTGGATCCACAGTGGACCCCCGGAAAGCGGAAATTACAGGGTATTATTTGGGAACTGCAGTGTGATATTAGATATGCCTGTTTTAAATGAGTGGACACTAGAACTCCCCACTCAACATGGCGATTAAAGGCGATAATTGGTTAATAGAGGGTTTGAATAGAGCGATCAAACAACATTGTATCTAAGTTAATATAATGACCGAAGGTTTTTTAAAGTTTACGCAGAATGGCTTACAAAATAAGTCATACAATTCGTTAAGAGGCCACTGTAATTTTTGGATCGAATGGCCTTTTCGAAACCCACTCTTTCCGCCACTTTTCCCAGCCCGCTTTCCTTGCTTATCAATCAGTGCGTGCCAAACTGTTTTGGCAGTTGCGCTAAGTAGCAGCTGCATTAAATCCAGCGATAGACAGCCTATCTCCAGCCAGCTTTGGCGTGGATCCCCATACTCACACTCAAGCCCAAGCCGATCTGCAGACCCAGCCGAATCCCGGACCCCGGGGCCAACTCAAAACGCGAAGAGACAGCAACTGCGTCTGCGCATAGAATACATTATTTTTAGCGCTCGAAAACGTTGACGACACTCACCGCCAGCCCTTGGTGTGGATACTGTCAGTTAGGGCTGGAATTTTTCAATTACTGATAAGATTTACGGCCCATTCACCGTGACACGCCATCGGGCGGATGAAGAAGTGGCATCGAAATCACTGCCTGAGACTATTTGCTTATGCCAGCTTTCGGCCTGGTTTTATGTCTTCTTTTAATGGATATATCAACTTGGGTTACTGTCCACTAAAACCACAATGAGCGGAGTTTACATAAAGTCTACGAGTATTGTTCGATATCTTAAGGGTCGCATAAAAAAAATACAAAGAGATTCAACACTCGGATTCAATGAGCGACAGAAGTTAAAATAAATATTTTTAAAAGTAGGATTCAATGAATGAACAACATAAGTTCAGTTAAATATTTTTCAACAAGTCTATCAAAATATTATATTCGTGATTCGAAAAGTTTGCAGATTCCTTGAGCTAGACACAAAATTAAAATTTGTTATCGCAATCCAAGGACTGTTGTAATAGCTTGATTGGGTTTTTGGACATCACACTTTACTAATGATCTATGGCACATTTACCACATTGATGGATTTTAGAGCATTTTTAAGACTTGACGAAATTGCGGGCTAGAAATCGACAACCACTCCCATGGCACTCACTTCGACTCGAAGACGATAAATCACAGTGACAAATCACGTTCACGTGACTGGCCGGCAGGCCTGTCCGCGAACAAGTCGCAGTTTCGGGCCGCGTTCCCTGGCAAAACGCGATTCCGCGAGTCTTTGGAGAGCGGGCGGAATGCGCGAGCTTTTCATGCGTAAATTT